GGGAAATCTTTCAGGATGGTGAGGCAGTGGCATGGGCTGCCCAGAGAAGCTATGGGTACCCCATCCCTGGGGGTGCTCAATGCCAGGTTGGATGAGGCCCTGGGCGGCCTGAGCTGGTGGGGAGCAGCCCTGCACGTGTATGGGTCTGGGACTGGGTGGGCTTAAGGTCCCTTCCCACTCAAACCACTTTATTATTCCACGATTCTGTTAGCAGGGTTGACTGTGAGGTCAGACCAATTTAGTCAGGTCCTAGCCCAGTCCTCTGCCTCCAAGGATGGAGATGGTTCAAAGCTATGTTAGAGAAGGTTCAGATTAAACATTAAGAAAATACTGTTGATAGTTTGACATTAGAACAGGCTTCTTAGAGAGGCAGTTGCTCTGTTCCTCTCTGTGTAAGTCATTTGGAGAATGTTCTCAGTGATATGTTTTTGACTCTGTGTCGGTGTCAGAGTAGTCTGGCACTTGGACTCAGTGACCTTTGTAGTTTCCTGACAACTCAATTTAATGGATTCTGTTCTTTGATAACTTGTTTCACCGCTTGTCTGGGTGATGGGGGAACGTTTTTCTGATAACCTGTTGTCCTTCAGTGGTGTTTTCAGACAGGACACAGGGCCTGGAGCTGCGCAGAAAGGAGCCCCTGCCCTGCTCACAGCTCCCCGGTACCTGGCTGGCCCTGCCCAGCTCTCCTCTGCCAAGGCGGAGTGCCTGCTCCCAGAACAGTCAATCACTGCCTGCTCAGAGTAGGCTGAGCACAGTTTGTTGAGATTAGCGTCAGTCCCTTCCTTGATGTAAATATTTATAAACAGAGCGTTCATAAAAAATTTTTCTTCATGTCTATAGCAGGCATGAAGACACACTTTAGAATGGTTTTGTTCAGAAAACACGAGGCAAAACAGAACAAACAGCAATTTTAAGAATAATATTTTGAATAATATGATTTCTTAATGAATGGCACAGAAACAGCTAATTATTTTTAATGGGTTCTGTTAACAGCATTTATTTTCATGATGCACTGTCAAAAAATATTTCAAGTAAATAAGCACACTGCAATTTAAGACCAATAGTTTTACTTATATGTATATACCAAATTGAAATGAAGTTGGTCATACAAAAAAAGTAAAATTAAAATGTGTCCTTGTAAAGGAATATATTTAAACAGAAAGCAAGTACAAGCTGTTGTGAAACATAGTCTTGAATCATCTATATCAAAGTCAGATTTTATCTGAAGGACCCTATTGTAGTTCTGTTTCATTACTAGCCTCCTGCCAAGTTTCTGAATGTACTAGTTAAGGATTTGTGCTTAATGCAAGTAGCCTGTGACTACAGATGAACGATAACACAGTGCTGTTCATTTTTGCTTGAGTTTTCACATAAAATTAATTTTCTTCAAGAGCAGCTATAATTTTTAAACATTGTTGAGCTTGAAGTCTTAACTTCATGAACTGTGGTTGTCGTCTTTTTAAATAATATTTCAGTCCTCTTCCTCTCTTCATGTTCTTCCTCTAACTGCTCAGCGGTGGGGTTATGAATCTTCTCCTCTAGGAATGTGATTTCACCTGTTGGTTTTGTTGGTTTGTTTTGTTTTTTTTTACTGAGCAGCCTTACCTGCCTTTTAGCTCCCCTGAGAAGAGGTCCAGGGGAGTTCAAAGAGCTTTGTCCTCAGACTTTTTTGTAGGAAGGCATATGGAAACCGTCAAAATGCATTATCTGAAAGATTTCTTTGTGGCCACAAGGGATGATAATTGGTAATGGGCCTATTGCATCAGAACAGTAATTTGTGGAGCCTCCTCATTTATCCCCGAACTGCTTCTAATCATAAGGGCTTTTCTTAGTATATGAGCCTAAGTAACCTGACTATAGTAATTATTTTTAGGACTCCTCATGTACTTGTTAAAATACAGTAGAGAAATATCCATTCAGTAATTAACTCTAAGTAAAAAAGATGCATAATACCACTTAATCATCCTGTTTTCTTGTAAATTTTAGCTATAGTTTAAAATAAAACAATCTATATTTTAGGTTAAAAAAGGCAGAAGCTTGATGGTAAGCAGTGGAAGGAGATTAAAGTTAAGGAGGAAAAAATGCAGATAAGAACTTCTGAAGGGGAAAAAAAGTTACATTTATCAATTACTGTGTTTCTTATAAGTACTTTCTGAAATATGTTCTTGCAGATGAAAGCCATGCTTGTTTGGCATGTATGTTATATGTGATTTATAAAAAGGATGTGGAAAAACGTGGGAGACCATAGTGTAATCAGGAGGCTGGAAGGAACTCAAACTTTTAATTTTTTTGTTTTTTTTTTTTTAATTAATAAATGGCTCACTTGAGATTCTCTAAAGGTCAGAAAGAGTTTGGCAGCACTTGTGAAACCTCTCTTCTCTGTGACAGTGTAGAATGCTGGGAGTGTATAATGCTGGGAGTCTTGACATCTGTACTGAGCTAACAGCTTATGTAAGAAAGAGGTATTTACCTGCGTGTTAGTCTATTTACCACTGTCTTTAGATTCATAATGGCGCCATGTTATTTAGTCCATTACTTGAAAATACATAGAGGCTTTCAGACCACCTAATAATTTCAAGGAATTTTTTGTAGATACAGAAGCTACTTTGATACACAAGTCTTCTAAGCAGTAATATTTGCTCCTTTTTGTTTGCCTGCCATTTTTAGTTGTTGTCTTCCTACATTCAAACTGACAAAAAGATGCCATTACTTGAAAATTTACAGGAATAAGACTCCCTGGCCAAGAAGGGTCCTCAAAGGAAGAGAGCTTTGGTGCTCCTGTGATGCGTGTATGCAGAAAAAAATCTGTATTACAATCATGTTAATATTTAATCATCATGATGAGGGTCCTACTAATACTTTAGGGAAATCAAAAAATCAACTGAATGAGCAGTCATTAGTTTCTAGTGTGTGTGTTTGGCATTTTTGCTATTCACACAGGTATACAGATTTCTTTGCAGAAGTCATTGCTGAATTACTTTTAAGAGAAGAGCATAGTGTTTTCATGTGAAGAGATTAATAGAGTTAAATTTGGAATTCTTCATAACTATGTTAAGATCAGTACACACAGTAACAACTTGTGTGATCAGCCTCTTTACTTAGAATTTGTCCAAATAAAGTATTATGGAGGATTCTTTCCTCAGTTGTCACTGAAGCTTTTTGTATTTATCTTAGTCAACAATCATCTTTGAATTTTTTCCTTTTGAATATATTCTTCTGTAAGTGTATCTGTTCTCCTTTGCATACAGTTGATGCAGTCACAGGCAATCTAGCAACTTTTCAGAACTTTCTATAAAAACCTTGTTCTTTCTTTGTTTGAAATAATGGTATATTGAAATCCTTTCTATTTGATTATGCTGTAGTATAGTGGCATTTTTTTTTTTTTTATACCTCCACTCTTGTTTTTAGCAACATCAGAACAGAAGCCTGAATGTGACTCTTGGAGAAACTTTAGGAGTTCTCAATTAAATGTATTTACTGGAGTGGCAGTGGGGACTCCACCCCTCGTTCTCTGAATTATTTCAGAGAACATTCTCTACAGCGCCTCAGCCTTGAGACCGTTTGATTTTTATTTTGACTTTTTATTGCGTGTTCTGTAAACATGGTTGATTCATCACTTAGGAAGGGAACTTTGTGCTTTGGATAGCTGGACGTAAATTTCTGCCATTTGCACTTGAGAATAAATTAACCTAGGTCTAGCACGGTATCAAACTGTGATGCTTAATTTGTTGGACCACTTTAAAAACATCTGGATTTGTTAGGAAGTGTTTCCTTTTTGGTATAGCTGCCTGTCTGCTTTAACATACCTGTTGAAAAGGCATCTTTAATTTCTTGCTCTCCAGCACTCGAAGTCTCTGGAAGCCTTTGTCAGAGCAAAGGAGAGAGAGACTTACTGAACATGAACTCTGTTTTGTGATGTGTTCTATCTGCAGAGCTTTGTTCATCTGGTATCTTTAACTCTATGCTAGCATGTTATTAATACGTGTTTCCCTGTGTTGGTTTTGGAGTGTTAGCCCTCATAATTTATGTAATATCTGTATGGCTACAAAAACAAAAATGCTTCTCTTCCTCATCATTTCTTAAAAACAGGCCACCAGCAGAAGATGAAATAAACCTTGGGAAGCTGTGACTTATGTCCCCAGAAGGAAATATCCCTAATACATTAGATTGATATTATCTTGGGATGCAGGACATGTTCTTTTAGCTCTACAGATTTAGCCTTTTTTAAATTTATAGAACAATATTTATAATTCACTGAAAATATCTTCCACTTATTTATGATTGAGTCCTAGAAAAATATTAGTAAATGAATCTTAAACAAATTGCTCAAGAAAGATGTGTTTTTTAATCTTGATGTGGATGTGAAGTTTGTTCATGTTTCCTGTAAAACATGTAACTTCTGCAGAGAAAGAGAGAGGAAAAGTGTTATTTACTGCATAATTTGTTACGTTGTCCTGCTAGGCATGGAGTTAAGTTAAGTTAGCCATTCAAAGTATGTGTTTTGTCAGTGCTTCACTTCAACCCATACTACTAAAACCAGCATGTAGCAGTTAGATTTCTTTCTTGTATGATAAACAGTTGCTTAGTTATGGCACAAATATTGATTATGGAGTCACAGAGACTTCTGAATTTAAATCTAAAACTTGTGATTTAAGAATGCTGTAGTGATGTTGTACTGAGGACAGCAAGGGTGATAGAAAAGTGAAGATTTGGCAACAGCAGCAGCCAGGACTCTTTGCTTCTACTGACTATTAGGAAATTATAATATGTTTACTAATGAAAATGAACTAATGCACTGTATTCTGGCTGTTCTGTCATCAGTAATTGAAAGCATTGTGAATGTCAGCATATGGCCTTTGTGGAGGATAAAAATAGGAATTTCAGTTAAATTTTAGTTTGTCAGTGGTACTGCACTCAAGTACATAAAGAAATGTTACATGAACAAAGTAATTTACTATAATGCTTTGAAGTAACTTCTGTTTAAACACTTTGTGTTCCAGATTTGTACTATGGTGGAGAAGCTTTCTCTGTAGAGCAGCCACAGTCTTTTACTTGTCCTTATTGTGGAAAAATGGGTCATACAGAAACAACTCTTCAAGAACATGTTACTTCTGAGCATGCGGAAACATCAACAGAAGTGGTAAGAAACATTAGAACTCTTTTAATCGTGAAAATTCATTAAAAAGAATATTCAGGAAAATGCGTAAAAAGTCATTCTTGAAGCATGAGTTCTTTTAAACACTTTCGAAGAAATCACACTTCATGATATCAGATTTTCTGGGGGGAGGTTATGCTCAGATAATGAGCTTCCTTTTTGCTTTTATGGTTGCTGCTTTGTTAGTCTGATGTAAAGGTTGCTATGTTTGGGAGCTTGTGCTGTAAAACAACATTTAAAGCATTCTTGTGGCTGTTCTTCCTTTTTACAACCAGCGTGCAATTGCCAAATGAGTTTACAGTTGGGTAAGACCATAGCTCCATAGCTATGGCAGTCTTTTGTTGCTGTAATTACATTCTGCAAGCAGCAGAAGCTGTAATTCTGCTGTGACTTGTTCTCGAGGCAGCAGGAGGAGAAGGGAAGTGTTCTCCATCTCTTAACTGATAGAACAGTTGACACCACTGAAAACACACTTCCTTAAAGTACCTTTTTGGCTGTTTAGTTGTGTTAGTTCCTACTTTCCCGACTGCCTTTCAGAGTAGGTGAAGCAAGGCTAACAGAATGACTTCCAAAATCCTCTTGTCCAGTTGACTTTTTTCACGGATTCCCAAAAATACTTGTTTGCTTGAAATGGATTACTCATTAGTAAAACATTGTGAATTACTCATAGGGTTCTCTGTTCTGATCTTCGGGTTATTTGTTTACTTTCCATGGAATTCTTTTGAAGGTGATGAACCCTTCTTTCAAGCCTGTTAAAGATCTTGAATGAAGGAGTGCTAGGGGAGGTAACTTGATAGTTTTGAAGCTCTAATCTTTGTTGAAAAGATAAGTGAAGCAGTTTACTTCTGTCTGTGGTACTGCAGGATTATAAGTTGCCTTACTGATACACTTGGAATTTTAATAATATAGATTTTTTTCTTAAATGCTTCACCTTTCAAACATACCATCAACTGGAGATTCACATCAGGGTGACTTCTTTCATGGTTTAGTGTTGCAGTTCTGATTTGCACCACTTGATGTCAGTGGTATTTTCATAACACCGTATTCATATTCTAGGTTTTTTAATCTGGCATTTCCTTTGCAGCTGCAGCTTCTAGAGTTCAGTATGTAAAGCCTAAATTTGTGAGCCTGCTACCCTGCTGGTTTCTGAAGAAGTTTTGTGTGTTAAAAGGAGCCTTTGATTTTTGTGAGTCAGCCTGCAAAAACAAAATTTTTATCCTGATTCAAGTAATAATAGAAGGCAGTCCTTTAATATGGTTGCGTATGTTTGTGCCAAGTTGCAAAGTTCAGTGTGCAGAAAATGTAAGGCTGCTTGATAGCGAAAGGTGACAACATGACTAATGAAGAAAATCTTAAGATAATCAATTGTGTTATTCCAGGCATTCAGACAACTGTTTTTGCTCATGTCTTGACCTTTCAGTACTTGCAGTAGATCTTGCTGTTGACAGGTGGACCGTATCTGAGATCTTCAAGTCTCCAGGGATAGACTGTTTTTTATTTTGCTGGTGATCACTCTTTACTCCTTACCTATCTTTCTAAAAGAATGAGTCAAAGAGTTCTGATCCACTGGAGGGGGAGGAAAAAGCACCATTAATATTTCTGACAAGTTGAATTTTAACATTTTTGTATTTGGACTGTTGAAGATAAGAGGGTGATTTTGCTCAGTATTTGGCAGCAGTAAATATAGCAATATTAGGTACTTGTGAACAGGATGAGTCTGACAGTATTATATTGAAGGGTAGTTTAATGATGGATACCTGAATCAAAAATTGTACTGGTGTCTGTGGGAGAAGTTGAAAGGTTCAGATTGACTAAGGTCCCTAAGGTTGCATGCTAAAAAAAAAAATTAAAAAATTGGCAGTATTGGTGAAAAAGTGATGTAAAGTCTCAGTAATTATCAGTATTTCTTTACCAGTCCAAGAGTAAGGATAAGTTTTATAGGGCAAATAAGTGCCAAGGAATATGAGTATCAGAGGAATTACACTGTTGGTGCTGGGTTTCAGTTCAGCCTAACATACTGAGTATGATTCAGCTAGAAGTCAGTGTTGTAAACAAGCTCAAGATTTTGGAAACTATTGAATGTCATACTTGAATCTCTTTTCAGAATAAAAATAGATTTTCTACTTTGTCACTTTTCATCAGATTTGTCACATTTAGCAAGACAGTAACTACGCTCATACCATGAGCTTTGGAGCTGTAAGGTCTGAGTTGTAAATATATTGCTGATTAAGCTGATTAGAACTTTTATTGCAGTAGTGAAACCTTTCAGATTATCTTCTGCTTCATTCTTGAAGATTTCAGTGTCTTCCATTTAGTGACAGGACTTCTGTAAGATCAGTGTCGTTTTATGCCTTACATGTTAATAAGGAGGCAGTAATAAGGAAAGTAAGGAGTAGAACAACATTTCTAGAAGCTAGCAGATATTAGGATTAATTCCTAACTGTTATAGAACTTGAAAGTCATCTTTTGGACGTCATTCAGAGCAACATCATTATTTTTTAAAATATCATAAAAAAAAAAAAAAAAAAGCCAGATACATCAGGAATTCGATTTTAAACCCATTATCCTAAGTTGTATTTTTTTGCTATGAAAACTAAACAAGTTCTATTAGCAACAATTTTCAGCTTTGTCACACTTAATCAGTGATGCTTCTGACGTCATCATAACACAGGGTGTTTTGCCAAAGCTAATGCCTAACTAAATTTCTGTTTGTGTCTAACAATGCTTTAGAATGTTTTATTGGTGAGAGAGTTCTTGTAGGAAATTTCATGTTTGGAATTAGGTTTAAGTTACTAAGTTCCCTTGAATATTTTGTTGTTCTGCAGAACTTTTTGTTATCTCATGTTTTTCTGAGGAGTCCCTTTTTTCAAGGAAATATCTGTTGTTCATGAAGACTTCATCATATTACATGTGAGGAACTTTGAATAGCTTTTTAAATTCTATTTTCATAATTATTCCCTTTTTCCATTTTCATAGGTAGCTGGAAAAATGAGTACCTTGAAGATTATGTTCATTTGATTTGAACTGTGTTCTTGTTTGAAGATTAAGCAATTTATTTGTAACTTTAGAGGTGTATATGTTACGGTGAATTTCTTCTAAAATTGTGTGTTTATGGCAGGTAAAAGTGCAATGGCTAGCATCAAATTTAATAGATAGAAGCAAAATTGTTAGTCTAAATTGTTAGTCCTTAAAGGGCTTTTAGAAGTTAAAATCGAGTAGAGAGGTACTTTTTGTTTCTTCTCTTTTTTTCATCTTGAAATTGTAGACCATTTTGGAACACTTCATTCTGCTTCTGTTAAGCTATTATCTGACACCTGAAATGAGTAACTTTTTTAAGCAGACCCACTGCGGTACCAGTAGTTGTGTCCTCCCTCATATTCTGTAATGTCATTGCTCTGCAGTGTGTCTGCTTGTATTGCATCTGTAGTGATGGAAAACCTGAGAAGTGGTTCTCTGAAGAAAAGTACATCATGTGGAAAATAAAGGGGGAAAGATGTAGTGGCAAGAACCATTCAAAAAGCCTAAGCTTCTGCATGAGGCTGCTTAATTAAAATATCATTGAAGATGTAAGCTGCTGTCAAAAGCAGCGGAGAATTTGCAGTGAATGTATTTAAGACATCACCCTCACCTCAATATAAGTAAGCCAGATGGGTGTAGTATTAGACGAGGGCTGCTCCAAAAGTAATGCCTCCCATTTTATTATGTTGACCTACGGTGTCGGGGGGCCAGATGCTGGTACAGCAGTAGAGGTTGAACCTTCTCAACTATATTCCACTGCATGATGCTGCCGTGTGAGAGTTGGCAGCAGAGGGGCAGTCTGACAGAATGGTGTCTGACATGGAAGTGTTGATGAAGCAAAAGGGGTATCGCTGAGTTACTCCATGTGGGAAAAAACAGCACCTGCTGACATCCGTCCATGCTTGATGAACATTTATGGATGCCAACTGGTGGTGTGCAGACAGTGAGGCACGGTGGTGTGTTTCAGCGGTGGCTTTGCACAGCCATCACAGCACAACATGAGGTCAGTCTCAAGCAGCTCATCTCCATGAATCAGCAGGTTACAACAAGGGAACAGGCTGCTCGTACAGGAGCAGAAGGAACAAGTCAGGGCCTACCAAAGCAATATGAGGCTGAAGGCGGAGGTTTCTTGGATCACATCATTGCTGGTGATGAGATGTGGTGTCACCACTGCGGGCCTGAGTCAAAATGGCAGTCCATGGAGTGGTGATGTGAGTTCCTCACCAAAGAAAACATTCAAGGTGAAGCTCTCAGAGGGTAAAGTAACGCGCACAGACGTTGGGATAACAAAGGGCTCCTGGAACTGCAACAAACCATCAGCTTTGACCACTAAATCGCAACGCTGACTGAGCTGAAGGCGGGAACATCCAGAGTCAGGTCAGAGAACAGGCGATCTTTGTTTTGCAACACAGTAATGCCAGGCCCTAAAGCAGTCTGAAGACCGCAGAGCACGTTGCCCATCCTGGCTGGGCTGCCCTAACAACGCCCTCCATATAGCCCAAATTTGGCCCCTTTTCACTTCTGTCTGTTAAGGCCAACGAAGGACTGACTGCATAGGCAACGTTCTCTTAGCAACAGCACTGTGACACAGTGAATCATGTCCACTGGTGTAGATTTGAATGAGCACAGCATGCAGGCTCTTGTTCATTGCTGGAAGAAATGCATGGCTAATGTTGGTGGCTGTTGAAAATACTGTTTTATAGCTGAGATTTGCTCTGTCACGCAGTGTTAATGTGCATTACTTTTTGGAGCAACCTGAATATTAGTATCCATATTGTGTGCAGTCTTTTGAGCTCCACAGTCAATAACTTGTATATAAACATGAGGACCACCAGAAACCTGGGCTTTATTGCAACCAGTATTGTTCCATGAATGCAGGGGGGCTATTGGAAGTAGGAGGAGTACAGAGATAAATCTGTGGATAGTAGCTGTATTTAGCCATCCAGGAGCTGTTAATATAAGCATTTAGTGCTTTGGGAGGGTTTTCTGGGCTGGAGATATTTTTAATCTAAAATCTGTAAAACTTTAAGATCAAGCTTCAAAACTGCTGGAACTAAAAATGGAAGGTGCGTTTCAAGGTGTCACAGTTGGAAGAAATGTAATGTTACTGATTGTCTTTGTGTTTTTAAGCTGAAATATTCATTAACTAATAAAGGAAACGGTATCTTCTGAAATCCTTTTGTGTAGGGATATGGAGATCAGTCTTTCTTTTCCAAACCTTGTAGTTGTGCAGTGCCTGGGTATGTCTCGGTTTGATTCTTGAGCAAATGCTTGCGTAGTTTGTCTGCTTCCTGCAGTTCTTTTGCTGACATGAATGAGAAGCAGGCATATAGTAGGCCTTTGTAATCACTTTGTTGTCTGAGACTGTATAAAATACAAAATACTGCATACAAAACTAATTTATAAAGCACTGCAAAATCTGGTTTCTGTAGTATCACTAAAATCATAAAAGAAATGGAAATTAACATCTTCTCTTGAAAATGATTTTTGCTGTTTTTAATAGCGATATGAGTTCCGCTTTCTATAAAGTATTTCTTTTTCCTCTTTGTCATTTCAGATTTGTCCAATATGTGCAGCATTACCTGGAGGGGATCCTAATCACGTCACAGATGACTTTGCAGCTCATCTTACACTGGAACACAGAGCTCCTAGAGATTTAATATCCTTTCCTGAGATGATGCAGAGTCTAGACTTCTTCATTGAGTAGTCATGATTACTTGTTTTGATTTTGATATTCAAGGGGCTGTACCTCTCATTTCCCTGCAACTTGAGTTGCTGGAAAACTGTATGCAAAATTTAAAGGTAATTTTTCTATTTTTCAAAGCAATATCCAAATTATGAATGAACTGTATGTGTGTTTGACAGTGCTTTTTAGCCTAGCAGCGGAAACGTTTAAGGGACTTTTATACCAAACTGTTTTCTACTGACTCTGGTTTATCCTGCCTTATCATTAGTTTTGAGGCCTTTTTTATGTATCCAGGTGGTAGAAACAATTTATGACACAGTGATCTGAAGATGGTTTGAGCTTAGCTGTTTTTTGACAAATAAGCTTGTGTACCTGCTTCATTCACTATACTAAGATACTTCCGTAGTATTACCTACTGACATGTCTGTAATGGCTAGGAAAGCTTCCAGATAACATGGGAAATAAAGGGCTGTCTTTCAGTTATCTTAGTAGCAGATTATGCAGGTTAATTACATTTGATGGCTGAAGTATTGACATTTGCTTTTTGTCCTTTGTTGAAGGGATTGCTTTCTAGGGTTAATTGATTTTTATTTATTAAATGACCTGCAGATTATGTACGATACCTACAGAAAGTTTTCTCTCTGAATTTTTTCATTAAACAAGTGATTTTCAAAATGAAGGGAATTCTTGACTGCTTTGGAAATATGTGTATTAACTTTCTGACAAAAATATTCTTTAAATAATTTTTTTGCCATAATTTGCAAGCCTATAAAAATATGACTTGAAACTTAAGCATGAGATGGCAAGGCAGGGGAAATGAGGAAATAGCAGGAGTCATTCGTGGAATTTACGCCATTTATTTGGCTAAAAAAAGAAAGGTAAAGTGAAGGGGTGTGATAAAAGTGCTGAATATTCTGGAAACATGCGAAATTTTAAGATCTCAAGTGCTGAAAATTCTGGGATCAAGTTGCTTATAGTATAGAAATTGAAAGGAATGCAGTAATTGCCATAGAAATTGAAAGGAATGCAGTAATTGCCATAGAAATTGAAAGGAATGCAGTAATTGCCATCTACTTCAGGTAGGAATGGCCGTAAGATCTTTAGTATTTAATGTAAGAATGAGGAAGTGGGAGTAAAACCCATGTGTAAGAAGTTTGGCAAAAGATGTGATAAGGTGTAATATTACTTGATAGAAAACTTTGATTAAAAAAAAAAATCAATTCTGATATTTCTTAGATGTATTAAAAAGCTGAAGAGTGTGAGGCGTTTTACTGTACACAGCCCTGATTGTCTTGAGTGCATGTCTGTATGCCCAGCTTGCTCCGTAGCTACAGCATCTCAGCTATGCTGTACAAGTTGAAGCTTTCACGTAGCGTACACTAGCGTGTTTTACACAGCAGATATTCTAGTCATTTAATAACCAATGCCACGTGTTTTCTTAACTTGTTTATTATGATGAATCCAGTGGTGTTCGGCATGTACGTCGAATGTTTCACCCAGGTCGGGGATTGGGGGGCCCTCGTGCACGTAGATCAAACATGCACTTTACTAGCAGTTCCCCTGGAGGGCTTTCATCTTCTCAGAGTTCGTATTCTCCAAGCAATAGAGAAGCCATGGATCCTATAGCTGGTAAGAGCTGTTGTGCCTGTGGGTTTTATCCTCCTTATGCAAAGGAACAAAATCCAGTGTGATAACGGTTGCTTTGTTTTTTGTTGTGCTGAAACTGCACTCATGATACATGCAGGTGTGACTGGCTGTGTGTTGATGAACAGTTTTCTGGCCTGTGGTCTTCTGAAGCTGAAGTCACTGCCCTAGTAGGCAGTACTTTTAATTCTACAGTGCAGGATGTATTCCCAAAGCTTGTTATTCACAGGCACTATTTATTTTTTTTGCTGTGGTTGTGTCCAGCTTCTATCCATTACTTGAGTATATATCATCCTGATTTGTTGTGAGATGAAGGTGTTTGTGGACAAGGTTTTCTGTCTTGATTTGTTTTAGTACAAGCTGTGGACTCTAAAGGTAAAATTACATGAATATTATTAACAGACATTGAAAACACATTCAGATTGCATTCAAGCTTTAGCAAGTTTGGTTTGTTTGTTTTTTTTTTTTTTTTTGTAATATCACTATTTTTTATGATGTACTTGTAAATTCTTACACAAATGTACTGTTACAAGCATTTGTAGCATGCTTTGGTCAGGTTTAGAAATCCTGTGATGGGAGGAAGAGCATCTCACCTTTAAAGCCAGAAAATCAAGACGTGTCTAGGATTTTTAGAAAAACTTGTTTACTGTATGTTTAATTTGAAAATAAAACATTTTTTACAGGAATTAGAAATAGATAAACACAACTTAAAATAGCAGCTTTTTCCTTATTAGAAATCTGAGCATTTTTATACTGTGATCTTTTGACCATGCCTGTGTCAAGGCAACATCAGAACTGCCGTAATCTACCTTCAGCTGCTAAGTATGCATAAATGTATAAACTGGAACTTCCTACTTCAAGATCATGACTTCTTCAGAGGTAGCCATCCAGCTTAATTAACCACTGCACATGAAAGGGGAGCTGTGTCTGCTTAAATGTAATCCCCTAGCCTTCCTTCTGCTGGCTGTGGTACTCCTGGCTTTCTGTGACCTGAAAGAGCATCCTGGCAAAAGAGGGAAAGTTGAATGAGGTCATGCTCAGACAGTGGTGGTCAATGTCTTTTACTCTGGTTGTATCCTCTCACACATGAGGTCACCCAGGGATCAGTACTGAACCCCATGCTATTCAACTTTAATAAATCATCTCAGCATGTTTGCTGAAACACCAGGGTGGGAGGTGAGATGGATTGTGTCCTGCATCTAGCATGTCATGACCATGACCAAAGAGCTGAGTACAGTCTTGCATCTGCATGGCTGGGGGTAGCCCTGCTGAAGGAGACCTGGAGTCCTGGTGGGCACAGAGCTGAATCAGTCAACGTGGGCACAAGTGCAGCAAGAATGGCAAGCTGAATCCTGAGCTGCATTTGCCATGGCATTAGTAGCAGAGAGAGAGGTCTGATCATCTCACTAAGCACTTGTCAGGCCAGAGGATCCAGAGGAGAACCATGAAGATAATCTGAGTGCTGCAAAAAATTGTTGTATGAGGAAAGTAGTTAGGTCTTTGCTCCCTGGAGAAGGGAGGGCTCAGAGCAGGTGTCATCACAGGATTCCAGTACTTAAAGGGCAGCTACAAAGAAGACAGAGGCTCTCTTCTCAAGGAGCCATGTGGAAGAACAGGGGACAGCAGGAACAGGATGCACCAGGAGAGATTTAATCTTGATACAGAGAAAAAAATACGTTTTTGCAGGGGGAGCCATCAGTCACTGGGAACAGTTCCCAGGCATGTGGCTGACTCTCTTAGTTTGAGGTTTTCAAGGTGAGAGGGGACAGGATGGCACATAAGCTTGTCTAGGCTCCCTTTCCTCATGAGAAGTTGTACCTTGTGATGGAGATCCCTTTCATTCTGGGCTGTTGTATGATTCTGTGAGGTTCCTAAAGGGTCTGAGAAGAACTAGAGTTCATCCAAGAAGGGAGGATGTTTGTGTATCATTATTCTGTGATCTTGGAGTGGAAGACCTCCTGGAATGTATATCGCTCTGAAAGTAATGCTTATTTAATTAAAGTAGGACAGATAAAGAGTACAATAACACTATTTAATAGAGCAAAATCTCAGCTACAAAACACTATTTTTTTTTCCACACAGTCACCACTGATAGCTGTGTATTTCAGTCATGAACAAGAGCCTGCATGCTGTGCTCATTCAAATCTACACCAGTGGACATGATTCACTGTGTCACAGTGCTGTTGCTAAGAGAACGTTGCCTATGCAGTCAGTCCTTCGTTGGCCTTAACAGACAGAAGTGAAAAGGGGCCAAATTTGGGCTATATGGAGGGCGTTGTTAGGGCAGCCCAGCCAGGATGGGCAACGTGCTCTGCGGTCTTCAGACTGCTTTAGGGCCTGGCATTACTGTGTTGCAAAACAAAGATCGCCTGTTCTCTGACCTGACTCTGGATGTTCCCGCCTTCAGCTCAGTCAGCGTTGCGATTTAGTGGTCAAAGCTGATGGTTTGTTGCAGTTCCAGGAGCCCTTTGTTATCCCAACGTCTGTGCGCGTTACTTTACCCTCTGAGAGCTTCACCTTGAATGTTTTCTTTGGTGAGGAACTCACATCACCACTCCATGGACTGCCATTTTGACTCAGGCCCGCAGTGGTGACACCACATCTCATCACCAGCAATGATGTGATCCAAGAAACCTCCGCCTTCAGCCTCATATTGCTTTGGTAGGCCCTGACTTGTTCCTTCTGCTCCTGTATGAGCAGCCATGGGACTCACCTGCTGCAGACTTCGTGATATTCCAATGTGCCACCGTTTCCAGTGCACTGAAGCTGATATTCAGCTCCGTAGCCCGTTCCCTTGTTGTAACCTGCTGATTCATGGGGATGAGCTGGTTCAGGCAGTCCTCATTTTATGGTGTGACAGCAATTCTGACAACATTTCTTGTCTTGTACATTGCTGTTGCCACTGCTGAAGCACACCACCCACTGCCTCACTGTGCTCACATCTACTGTTTCATCTTCATAAACGTTCACCAAGTGTCAGTTTATGTCACTGGGTGCTCTTTTTTCCAACATGGAGGAATTCAGTGACACACCTGCTTCATCAGCATCTCCAGATCATTCTGCCAGACTGCCCTTCTGCCATCTGTCACCCAGAACAAAACGTAATGGAGTATAGCTGGGAAGGTTCAACCTCTGCTGCCTTACTGCCGACTTCTGCCCACTGAGACTGTGGACTGAATAATAAAACTGAAGCATTACTTTTGGTGCAGCCCTCACAGTTCAGTTCAGATAAATGTGAAGTGTTTGCTGATGCTTGTCAGTACCTCACCAGGCATTCCTTGTGGAATGCCACAAGCACAGGGAAGTTAAAAATTGGATGAAATGGTATTCCTTTGAACTTGATTGATGCTGTGTCTTTGCTTTTAAGGTTCAGTTGTTATCTGCTGGGGTTGTCTTCTCTTACCAAGGCCTTTATCTCAAGCTCTCATCTGCTTCCAAGTACAGCTAGCTATTAAGCATCAACTTATGCTTAACTTACAGTGAGAATAAATTGATCTGTTTCTTGTCTGATAGTTTGATATGTCTTCTCTTTCAGTGAAATGATGAACTGAGAAGATAACTGCAGGTTTTCTGTTTGAAAATAATGAAACACACAGCATCTGCTACGTTTTTACATCTCCTTTTTCTCCTTTGTGATACTGCCTAGTGATTATAATTGAATTAAAGATGTGGAATTGATAGTGCAGGTTTAGAAACAAAAATGAAAAGCAAAACTTGACTATCCTGAGTTTCTGACATAGAAAATAACTGCATTTTTCTGTATTCCTCCCATGAAAGCTTGCCTAAAAGCAATTGTTTTTTATTAGTGCAATGGAAGGAAAACTATTACAGGTTGGCAGTATTGCCTCCTACATCTGCCCTTACATCTGTTACAGCAAAGAAACACCTAAAGGATTCTGCTGTGATACCCTGAGCAGTGTTTTACTGATGGTTTTAATTTCAAAGAGCAGGTATTTGCTATAAACCTACCACTGAAGGGAAGACTTATGGTTGTACTCCTTAACTGTCGGGCCTTCCCTGTCTTCAGGCAGAAGTAGACAGTGGTTTCGTGAGGCAGATCTTGAATGAGTTCATAACAAAATAACTTTTACTAAATGTTAGAAGTGATGTCGTGGTATTTCTTTTACAGAACATATCTTCCCTTTGGGTTGTTGGATGGTAAAACCTGTGTTGTGGGGGCATGTTTATTGAGAAGAAAATAACATCACTAACAAAAGCCCAAATTAAGTATTTTCCTAGTCAGGTACTACGCTATGATGTGGAGCTTCAGAGAAGTGCTGCAGAAGACATCATTTGCCAGGCATTCTCTGTAGACCGGCTCTCCTGTTATAACAAATCTGCATCTTCCTTACGCTTTGAAACATCGAACACTGAGACTTTCTAGAAGAGTTTCATGAATTTTCTAACATAATTTACTTTTACTAATTTACTAAACGAATTACTTAGTTTTCCATTGATGGACAAAAATGAATTGATGCCCTGGAATTCAGGGTGTATTCATTCTGTTGTGTAACAGTCACTTAAGATATTTCATCACAGAAACTTTTCTCTTCTCTGGCAGAGCTTTTATCTCAGTTATCAGGCGTGAGGCGTTCTGCAGGAGGACAGATCAATTCCTCTAGCCCTTCTGCTTCTCAGTTACAGCAGCTGCAGATGCAACTGCAGTTGGAACGACAACATGCACAAGCAGCGAGACAACAACTGGAGACTGCACGCAATGCAACTAGACGCACCAACACGATCAATGTCAACACCACTATTACACAATCTGCAGCAACAACCAACACATCTAACACGGAAAACAGTCAGCAGACTATCCAGAATTCCCAGTTTCTTCTTACAAGGTAACTTGTTCTGTCTGCTTCAGCATACGTCCCTTAGCATTTCACTCTTTCTTGGTCCTGCTAGAGTCGGAGCACAGTGAAACTTTGTATACTGTGATTATAAGAAATGTGCTTTAAGCTTTTAGCCTTGTATTTGCATGTAATTGGGTGTTCATATTTAAATGTTCGGAACTTGCGTCATCCATATTTCTAGTAGTAATTTAATATCCAAGAGTAGCAGTTCATAGGTGACCTGATGGGAATTACTCTGCTTTTGGAAAGCTGGCTGCAGAAATGGCCTTTAGTGCCCTAAAGGTTGCAGAAAGGAGAGACAAACTCACAGCTGCGTTGTATATCTGTTTTGCATCTAGGAATGTATTTAAGAGGTGAATGTATTTAAACAGATGTGAATATGGAGTTCTGCAAGCCTTAAGAAGGAGGCTAGTTCTGAGTTTCAGCTGTGTAAGCTACTTCAGGCAGGGGGCTTCTGCCAGGTCCCTCATCAGATCTCTTAACATACTGTGCTTTGTTTGGACTGTGTGGATTGTACTGTCTGGTGGGAATCCAGAGGTGGTACACACAGAGTGATGTATTCTGTCGCATGTGTACAGCTAGGCGTTGACCCAGCCCCTAACAGGTATGTAGCAGATGCCAACCTTCCCTAAAAGACTCTCGTAGGTAGCAGGGACCCTTGCTGTGTGTGTATTGTATCTTGAGGGCTCGTTCTGGTGAAGGCTGTTGTAGTGAGTGGGCAGGGGTTGTTGGCCAGAGGTGCGCAGAGCTGTGCGTGTGAGAAGGGCCGGCAGTGGTGTCCTGCGAGTGCCAGTGAGGGGCAGGGCTGTGAGCGCAGTGTCAGGAGCGTGGCCAGGGAAACGGGCTCTCACCAACTGCCTGTCTGCTTTTCCTGCTGCCATACAGGTTGAACGATCCCAAGATGTCGGAAGCGGAGCGTCAGTCAATGGAGAGCGAACGGGCGGACCGCAGCCTGTTTGTTCAAGAGCTTCTACTGTCCACTTTGATGCAGGAAGAAAGTTCCTCCTCAGATGAGGATGAGAGGGGGGAGATTGCCGATTTTGGTGCTATGGGCTGTGTAGATATTATGCCTTTAGATGTTGCTTTAGAAAACCTAAATTTAAAAGAGAGTAATAAAGGAAACGAGCCTCCTCCACCTCCTCTTTGATGACATCCCACTTTGCAGACAATGTCCTCTGTGCTGTATTTGCCAATGAAAGTGGACAACAACTATCTTGGGTTTGTTTTGGTGATTGTAATTTCAGGTCTGTCACTCTTGTTACGTTGTGTACATTAAAAAGAAAGAGAGAAAAGATATATATGATAATCATTTCCACTTAACTAATTTTTACTTCTAGCAGGTAAATGTAGGTTGCGGTGCAGAGCAAAAGGCTCAGTGTCCTGTACCTTGACATGCAAAGGCTCTCCTAATACTCCACATTCAAACTGAAGAGGAAAAAATGAAAAATCTCTAATGAAGCTGCTGTGTGTATTTATGAATATTAATGAATAAAAAATGCTTGGATGGTTTACCTTAACTACTGCATGACGTTTTTTGCAGCGTGCATGAGTTTTAGTGACCTTGTCATTTAAAAATTTAAATACAAGGAAGTAAAACTATAAAACCCAAAGCTTTCCCATTATTCAGAGGTTACCTAACAAAAAGGTTAGCGTGGCTTGTAGCCACAAAGTAGCTTTTGAATAGTATGTGACAGAATGACATCTTACGTGCTGTTCTGCACAGGATGGAAACTGCAGTGGGTTGTATTGTCGTGACCAGGGTGTGGCATTTTGCTGTATGTGATCACTATGTTGCCCTGTCGGCCGTCGCGTCAGTGTGGAGTTGAACTGCATTTTATGCATCCCTAGGAGACACAACAATAAGGCCACTGCTGGAAGCTACTGCAAAGGGCTTTTGTGTGCCCTGAAATCAAATGATGTTCACTTTTGTTTAAAGTTTGTTTTCTGTGGTTGTTAATTTTTTTACTGTTAAACATGTTTTATTCAGGTGTAGATGATTCATATATTCACTGTGTTGGTTTTTTTTTTTTAAAGAAAAAGTTAACCTGGAACATGCTGTCTTAGTTTAAAAAGCCTTTCACAGCCTCGATCATATTTTGAGTTATTTATGTATTCTCTTCATAGTTTGCAGAGACCTGGTAGTATCAGGAGAGCTTGAGGATTTGAATCCCCAGATTGTTCGTATATTGCAAACAAATTATTAATGCTAACTTCAGCACCTTCTATTTATTGTTTCTTTTGGTTACTTTTGCTGGTGGAAAAAAAAAAAAAAAGAAAAAAAAAAAGTTTTAAAAGCCTTTTAGTGGAATTGTGCCACCTCTATGCCTATACTGCTAGCCTTCCTGGTCTAAACAAAAACTGCAGCGTTCTGTGCATCCATAACAGCCTCAAGGCAGGGACAGAAAGAGTGTTTGGTTTTGGCTTTCTTTCCTTCTTTGTTTTGTTCTGTTTTTCTAAATGTAAAGTTAGATTATAAAAACAGAAGTGCACACAGCTTCAGATATTAAAAAACAAACAAAAATAACAAAGAAACCATAGGCTTATCTCATAATGTCTTCCCAGCCTTTTTCACCTCCCCCCGCTCTCTTTCTCTGTCCATCCATCTCTGCAGCACTGCTAGCATTAGAGTAAACTTACAGACGTGGACGCCGGGTGGTGTTCCCAGCACAACTGTGACGTGTATGCTAATCCAAAATAACTGCAGCAAAAGAAATGACCCTGTATACTGACTTCAAGTTCATCTTCTTTTTTTTTTTTTTAAATCCTCAAATCCTGATTGTTTCCCCCTAGAGCAGTACTAGCTTTGTTTTCCTTTAGTCTCTGCAACAGAAAATGTTTGGAGGAGAACTTTACCTAAGCCCTCTGGTTATCCCTAAGGTTACCCCAACTAGGGATTTTTTATTTTTTTTTTGATTGATTGTTGAGGATTTTCAAAAGATTTTCAAGCTGTAGTCTTTACAACCACATCTTCTGCACATTACAGTAAGACACACGGTTCAATAAAGCATTTTCAAGACTGTTGCTCGGTTGATTTTCTTTGTTGTTGATGTGTTACGCACAGTTTTGCTCCAGAATTTTCTGAACTGTCAACTGTGGCTGTATACGAGGTCATGTAGAAGTGCTGGGCAATTTATGTGCGTGCAGTTAGCAACTCGCACACTGTGGCAGATGAAGAGGCTGCAATCCCAACCTCCCCACAGGTAGGTGGATCCAACTTTGCGTAAGAAAAAAGTACGCGTAGAGCAGACTCTCCTCAGCATGAGCCCTGACTGCATGTGTGGCTGCTCTCTGAACATGAGCATCATTTCTGGACTCCACTTAGGGGGTGTAAACCAATATTGTCTGTGCTCAGAAGCAGAGCAGATGGAGACTGGCAGTTTAAGGTATGCCTAGGCAATGCCCATAACCAGTGGGTTAAAAGAAAACAGCCAACCACCTCCTGCCATCTCAGGCCAAGGAGTATGCTTGGAGTTCAGTGGAGCCTGTGTGTTCATCCATCACTATTATTCACAGACTCTTTAAATGGCAAAGAGATGCTCTTGAAGGGTGGGGAATTGGTTGGAAGGCTGCAGCCAGAGCGTTGTGTCGGCAGCTCGACGTCCAGGTGGAGGCTGGTGATGAGTGGTTTCCGCAGGGCTCTGTCTTGGCACCAGCGCGCTTCAGCCTTTGTATCAGTGACGTGGGATTGAGCGCACCCTCAGCAGTTTGCTGATGGCTCCATGCTGAGCTGTACAGATGACACAGTAGAAGAAAGGGAGGCCATCCAGAGGGACCCAGATGTAATTAAACAAGGCCAAGTGCGAGGTGCTGCACTGGGGCTGAGGCAATCCCAGGGATGCGCACGAACCGGGGGAGCTCCTTGGGAGCAGCCTTGCCAAGAACTTGGGAGTCTGAAACTGACATCTGCCAGCAGGGTGTGCTTGCAGACCAGAAGGCCAACAGTGTCCCGGGCTGCATCAGCAGAGGGGTGGCAGCAGGGAGAGGGAAGGGATTGTCCCTCTCTGCCTTTGTGAGGCCCCACATGGAGTACTTCATCCAGGTATGGGAAAGATATGGCGCTCTTGAAGGCGGTGCAAAGAAGGCCATGGAGATGCTCAGAGGGCTGCAGCCTCCCCTCTGAAGACAGGTTGAGGGAGCTGGTCTTGTCCAGCCTGGAGAAGGTTGTGGGGAGACCTCATTGCAGCATTCCAGTATTAAAAAAGAGATTTATAAACATGAGGGAAACGAATTTTTTTTTTACATGCATTCGTAGTGATAGGACAAAGAGGAATGATTTTAAACTAAAGGAGGTAAGATTTAGATAGACAGGGAAGTTTTCACTCAGGATGGAGAGGTGCTGCAACAGGCTGCCCAGAGAGGTGGATGCCTCATCCCTGGAGGCTTTTAAGGCCAGGTTGGATGGGGCCCTGGGCAACCTGACCTAGTACCTGATCTAGTGGTTGGCAACCCTGCCTGCAGCTGGGGGGCTGGAACCTGATGATCTCTGGGGCCCCTTCCAGCCCAAGCCATTCTATAAAACTGGTGGAAGTGCTTACAAAGGTGTTGAATGTGCAGCTTCACATCTGGGCAACAGCGCTTTGCTGGGCCCATCATCAGCTGAGTTGTGCCTTGAGCAGTGGCACACAGCATTCCTCACACTGCTGGCAAGGAAGCAGTTCAGCCAGATGTTGGTCCGGAGCAAGCAAGACTGCAAATGAGTGCGTTTGGGGCAGGTGGAAGGCACGTTTTCATTACCAACATAGCAACTGAGATACATAGGCTTACTTGATGGTGCAAGGGAAGCAAGTCAGCAAGCTGAGTGTCCACTGGCAACTTGGAATTCCACCATCTTCTAATCAGGATGTGTTTTAAACTCCTGTGATCTGCTTTAATCAAGAGCATTTTTTGTTTCACTTCCTCTCCTGTCCTTTACCCTGGCCCATCTGAGCCTGTCTTCACCCACATAAATAGGATGTGCAGCTGACTCCAATTGTTCTGTCCTCAAAGGCTGTTGGGGAAATGCAAAAGGAGAAATGTAAAAGAAAACTGTAGCTGCTGGCTTGGGCTTTCACTAAAGGTCTTACACCCCCAGCCAGGTGCCATGGTCAAGCAAATATTATCTACTGTGGCTTTGCAGTCACATCCGCCTGCTCCCTCAGCACTTGTAGGCACACCCATCAGGGCCCACCGTACAGTTTGCTCAGCTGACCCGATCCTCTTACAGCAAAGATGCATCTTTCTTGCTCCAGCCCTTCAGACTGGCCTCTGGGACTGAGAATTCCTGAGGGTCAGTCTTGCTGCTAAAGACTGAGGCGAAGAAACTAACTTTTTCCCTGTGTGAGAAGGTTCTGCTTCAGCAATGGGCTCATGTCTTCCTCGGTTTACCTTCTGTAACAGACGTACTGTGACAAGCTCTTCTTGCCTTCCCTTGTTAGATTCAAGCCCAGACGGGTTTTAGCTTTCCTAACTCCAGCCCTGGATGCTCTGTGCTCCTCCCATCTTACCTGTCCTTACTTCCACCCCCTGGGTACTTCTTTCTTATGTCTGAGTCTGGCCACATGGTCCTTGCTTATCCATGCAGACCTGACATTTTTCCCTTCTCCTGGGGATGCAGTGCTCTTAGAGGAGATGACCTTGATTACTGATGAACATTATTGTTCCTCTCATTCCTCCAAGGCTTCATCCCACATCACTTTACCAAGAAACTCCTTGAAAAGCCAGGTCCTGGGCTGCGAGCTTTCTGTGCACTCTCCTCACCCCCTAAAGGATCATGAACTCCACCACTTCATGATCACTACAACCAAGGCCGCCTTTGACCTTTACATCCCCAAGGAGCCCTACAGTGGCCACACGCAGCACCTCTGCTGACAGCCCAGCCAATGATGAGACTCTGACAGCTCTCTGCCTCCAGCTCACACTGCTCGAGGCTCAGGAGAGCTGGACTCCACTTTGGGGGCCTGTCTCCTCTTCCCTGTGGCTAGCCCTTCATCCATTGCCCCTACCCTCACCAGGGGTGTTTCTCCGTTGCTGCAGTGCAAGGACCAGCTTGTTGCTGTTGCAGGAGGCTTCAGGGTCTCTGCACACCCCAGTATCACACATGACACGCACACGGGCCCCATCTCGCTCACTAGCTGTTGTCTTCTCATAAGCAATATTTGCTCACAGCTAACACCGCCTGCCTGATCCCTCCTCTTCAGCCCTCCCACCCCGAAGAGCAAAGCCACTTATTAGTGCAGAAAGGAAGGGTAATTGTTCCCATCCATATCAGCAGAGAGGTTTTTTCATGCTTTGTTACCTCTAGAGCTAAACTTCCATTAGCAAGACTAAGTTCTGTTACTTTCACAGGTCAACCTCGGTCTTTCCAGAAGCAAAGCATGCAGGTAGTTTGTTCTGCAGTGGCTGACTGAAAGTGTTCTTCAAAGGCAAGGCTCACATTATCTGCATTCTTCCCACTCTGCTGAGGTCTGTGCTAAGCAGTGACTGAGTATAAAGGCTGCTACCAGCACCCATCATCGCTTACTGCAAACGGCACTTCAGGCTCCAACTGGAAAGTTGATCAGGAACCGTGTGTTGTGTCAGTTTCAGTAATTCAGTACCAAAGAAAGGCAAAACAAGCACTTTTGTTTTATATAAGCCTTTATTTACAACTTGTTTAACAACTGTACACTCTTCTGTACCCTTGGAAGCATTAGTGTATTTGACTGGGAAAAAATATTAAACCTTTTGATTCTAATGACCATTACCGAGTATTTTTTTGTCTATGTACAGATTTGTATATTAATACTGCTACCATGACAATCTGGTAGTTACACAACTCATAGATGAACGGAAATGGGAAATTTATGTTTTGACACTCTATAAATCCAATACTTTACAGAAAATATATCACTGTCAACTTCACAAACAGTTACTTTGATAATTGGTCAACACTTAATTTGGGACTGTCAAACAAGCTGCTATGAAGGAAGTAGAAGAGTTTCTACGCAGCATAAATGAAGTTAGTACACCAGAGACATGCTGGAGGTCACGCAGAGACGTGGCACTTTGCCGCCGCTCCAGTGAACTCAAACACGCTTTGTCAAGCTAAACACAATTACATATAAATGTCTTCAGGCTCAAGAACAACTGATACGTAGTTTCTAACTGCACAGACCACATGGAGAAATGAGGTACAGCTCAGCTTCAGCTTGGGATGCCCTTGCAGGCAGGTGTGACAAACAGCTATCCCCGCACACCCTGTACAGGGCCACCCCGGGCCCGCACCCAGCTCGGCCTGGAGAAGGGTGCTCCCAGCTGAAGCCGTGCTGGCAATGGGAAACAAACTATGCCTCACACACAACAGAAAGGAGGTTTTTCTATAAAGCTTGCCCTGGCACAGAGCGAGGGATCGATGGCTAGGACCTGGAGAGATGAAAACCCTTTAGCTCTGCTAGGCTCAGTCCGATGGAAGCGCCGCTGGCACTGCTGCAGGAACGTGTGACACGTCACGGCCCTGATCCGTCCTGCAGGTCACATCAGACGTCACTGCCCCAGGTCCCGTGGACCCGGAAAGACATATCCCCATGTGGGAGTCCCGACGGGCTGTCAGCCGCAGGCTCCCTGTCTGCTATGGTGTCTGGCTCGGTGTCCAGGAGGGAACCCAGCACACGCTTCTCGCTGGGATCCTCACACTGGCCCTCTGACTCCTGCAGGTCCTGCTGCAGCCCAACCTGCCCTACCCTGCTGAGGTGGCACGGGGACGGGCTCCTCCTGTTCTGCAGCTCTCTGCTGCAGCAGGCACAGTGCCTGAGGGCCGAGCACCTCAGGTGTCCCAGCACAGGGGTCAGTGAGGGCTGAGCACCTCTGGTGTCCCAACGCGAGGGCGCAGCCTTTCAAGGCCCCAGGTGCCTGCAGGGAGCGACGGGCGCACCGTGTCTCCAATATAGGGTGCTCTGGTGGAAAACAGGGCTCACTGATACACTACTGCCTGAACAACAAGCAAAACTACTCCTGGAGTAAGCTCATGCATATATTTTTGCAGGATTAAGATCCAAGTGAGCAAGAATGGGGTTTCTCAAGAACTGGACTTCAACCGAACAAACTTATGGTTTTCTTCGCTCGGATTCCTTTCGGATGCTGTGGAGGGCCCTACGGCCTCCTCTGACCTGTTACATGCTAACTGCTACACAACAAACACCCTAACTTACACCACAACAGTACTCCCTTGCCTTCTGGATCTTGCCAGTACTGGGCACCCAGCACGGAACAAAGATACAGTAGTACAAATGTGCAGATATTTAAAAATATTAAATAAGCAGCTTTTAAAAATTAATAAAGGCAGCACGAAGCATTTTGAGTTATACTGTCTAAATATTGCAAAAATCTTATCGCTAAACTTCGTAATACAAAGAAACAGCCAAACCAGTGCAACTGGAAATGAAATAGCTAAGACTGCAATAATGAGAGAAAAAAGAAATAGTACAGGGAAAATATAAACAACCCAAATTATAAACTGTCAAGGACAATCTGCATAATACTGAAAGTGTGGCCAGCTTTCACGTTTATCCCCATTCGCGTACTTTCCTTGGATTGTTTAACAATTGTACACAGAGTGGAAGGAAAAAGTTTCTGAAAGAAAGAGACGACACAGCTAAAATATATAGAGAAAAATACAACAGCCACAATCTACTGTGTATGTACATAGTAAGGAAGCAGGCAGTGTCTGTGAACAAAGGACTGCACAGTCGTTTGCCTGTCCCAGAGTTTATCTGCAGAACCTTGCTCGGCTTCCTAAGAAAGATGGGCTGGCCAGGCAGCCGCTCCTCCTAGTAACACGCCTCCTCGACTTCATTTTTAATTTATTTAAAGGTTCAAGGTATATCCTTTAAGGGTGCAGGTGCTTTGAAGTTTTAAGAGTCACCAAAAGGCATTTTTAAGAACTCGTTAAGACTAGATTTTTCTAGTTCAGAATATGCAAATGTTGCAGGAAGTCTGTGTGTTAATGCTGTTAATCGATCAGAATTAAATGGACAGACAGAAGTAAATGTAGAGCGGACAGTGCTCTGTCAGTCTGCAGAACGCCTCCTGTAGAGTTCTGAATACTGGATTTCTGCTCTTTTAGCCCCATAGGAGACTTTTTGTGAAGAGAAAGAGTAAATGGAAGCGGAAAATGGGAAAGCCACTCCCCAGGATGGCAAGCTTCTCTGCAAGTAGATCTCCCTTTGAAATCAGATGCCCGTAAGTGTAGAACTGGTTAAGTTTTGGTTATGCAGTCTGGACAGAAAAGCAAGTAATGCACTGCACAGTCCCTGTTATAATAATGCTGCAGGTCATGCAACCACATCACTGCAAATAAAGAATAAAGAAGAAAAGTTAAAAAGCAGATAACATTATCATTAAAAAAAAAAAAAGACAACAGAGAACAGTACAGGCATTTGCAAAGTAGCTCAGTAAGGCTGCCTCTCCTTACAGCTGTGCAAATTCATGGGGCAAACATCTTTGCCAGAGCAACTCTTAAATTAACAGGAAGATCATATGTCAAAATTTGAAAGAGAGACGAAATAGCTTTGAACAAAACCTAAATTCAGACATTGTTCAGTAAAATTTAGACCTTTCTGCATAACGTCCTGCAGGGCACCATTCTGAACTAACACAGCTATGGAAACCAAGGAGGCTCTTCTGGCATTCCTGCTGCTTGTAACTAGTTGAAAAAACACAACACAGTCTGAAGAGAAAGTTGCCTGTCCGATGCTGTGCCCAGCCATATACTAAAGCACGATCAGGGTCAGAATGGCTCTGCCTGAGCCTTCCATCTCTGAGTGCCAATGAATACTTTAAACGTTAATTAAAGCTAATCCTGTGCACGATGATCAAACAGCATCAGTGCCATCCTACCCTGGCAAGTTTCAATAACTGCATGCAAAACTAGGTTTTAATAACAAGAATATGGCAGGTATTCTTCTTAAAAAATACACAGAGTAGGTGCCATTGAGCAGCACTAAGGACACATCATAGTACTCTGTTAATGAATCTAAGCCTGGAGAACAACCAGATAAGTTGGCACATTGCTCTATCTTTGCTGATAGCTCTTCCTCATGGCAACTGAACTGGAGAGGTGGGATAATTTCACCCATAGGGCTACGGTGCTCTCAGATTCCCCCCGTAACACAGCATGGCACAGCACTAACTAACTGCCCCTTCTCATTTTCATTTGTGGTGATGATAAGAAAAAGAAAAGTATCTCCACCAAACTGAAATCATGCTGTGCAAACTGTTACTTTCCTTTCTTCTTCCACCCTAGAACTGCATGGGATCAAGCACGGTTTAGGACAGTTCCTGTGACAGGAAAACCCAGACTGAAGAATATTTATAGCTAAATGCAAGGACTTAATGAAAAATAACAAAAAAAACAACCCCACCCTTCAGCTACAGGTTCTGCAGCCTGTAAATTTGTCTTTTTTTTTTTTTTCTTCTCATCCACCAGCCCAGAACACTCACTGTAGTTGAAAAACAAACAGAAAGATACATATAGAAAATCAAATGGAACAAAAATAGAAAATGCTTTAAAAGAGCACACTCAAAGCAGACCTTGAGTGTATATTGGAGTGATTACTGTCTGCTTGAGATGTGCAGTTACACTAGCTGTGCACTGCCTGGCTGAGTGCAGGAAGTTACAGAGTTCAGGATTAACTACACTAATGTTACTGCAGTTAAGTCAATAGAAAAAGAATCCTACATAAGCATACATCTACTGTGCTATGTATAGATGAGTATAATCTACTTTTTATAACTCACCTTTTATGTGGGTTGCTCCAAAAGTAATGCCTCCTACTTATTTTCACAGAAATGACAACAGATTGAAAGAGTACAATAACACTAATTGACAGAGCACACTCTCAGCTACAAATCACTCTTTTTTTTAGTTGGTCGCCATATTTATTATTACCAAGTATGTATTCACCAAGTATTATTCACCAAGTATGGATGAATGTCAGTGGGTGCCATTTTTTCCATATGAAGGAATTAAGCTACCCACCTCTGTTTTACCCACACTCCTGCATTCAGACACCACTGTCTCAGAGTGCTCCTCTGCTGCCATCAGTCACGCAGCAGCAACATGCAATGAGATGCTGATGGGAAGGATCCACCCCTACTGCTCTACTACCAACATTTGCCTCTGATGCCATGGACCAACATCATAAAAACAGGAGGCATTACTTTTGGAGCATCTCCTGTATATTGTTCAGACTTACTGTTCAGCAGTGCCTCAGGTGTCCTGTTGTACATAAATGTGATAGGACAGGCTTTTCTTTGGGACACCAGCACTTCTAAAGAGGTCTTATCAACTTTGGACAGTGAATTCTCTTTCAGGGATGCATCAAATCCCCTGATTCGTTTGAGTGCCATTTTCAAAGCAGTTCTCAGACTGTTCTATAATAACTGCCTGTTGATTTCCTTGTGTCTTTGAGTACCTCTGAAGATGAATCAACACTTGCAGAATCTACCTGTGAAGACAGTAATACTCTAGAAGATGACAAATGTGAAACGTGACAGTACATTCCCTTAACATAACCTGTTGTTTCCTCTGCACTGTCTCCAGACCAGGTCGGATTATTTTGCAGATGACTTGTCTGCAAAGGAGTGATTTTAATTTTCTTGTCAGTCCAAAATATTCCAGTTACAAATAACTGAAGGCTCACTGTTACCTTGGTGGATTATTTCTCAGAGGGACACTTCCCTCCAGTGTTCAACACGAGAACTGACTAGCTGTACTTCATTATAAGCAGTCAATCAGTACCTTACAACCTCCTTAGCTTCTTTGTCATCCCGTATTTCTTCTACTCACTGGGATGATTCCAGCACATTACAGCCTCAGAAAGGACAGGAGCTTTCCCTTTCCACCAGCCAGCTCTGGTATGTATCTGGCATGTTACCAACACGCTTCCCTAACAACACTGCTCACACAAAGCAAATGCAATCCAAAAAAACCCAACCGCCATACCTTACTTCTAAGCAACCATGTTTTTGCTATTCAGTGTACTTTTGGAGCCTTAAGAGGGAATTGGGCTTCCTCACCAATTCGCTGTCTGTAACCAGTATTTTGTAATATAAGCACCAAAGTAGGAAGAGCACCAAGAGCACCTTTACTTTGAGGTCTAACACCAGACTCCTCCCAAATATTTCTGCTGAGCATCTACTTTAAGTTAACTGCCCCCAGATTTCTCTTTCTGCAGATTTCTTAATGTTACTTACTGGTTACTACTACTAAGGTTTCTTTTTCTTCCTACACGTATTCTTTCTACATTTTCTCCATGTTATTTCCTTTAGACATTTTAAAAAGTCCCTCATCACATCATCTTCCAGAGCCATGGCAACATCAGTTCACATTTTTATAATTTCTACAACTACAGAATACAAAGTGGACTATAAACTCTAAGACGTGTGGCATTACAGTGTCATGTTTATTACTATTCAAAGATTTTACTAGTACTGTTAAATACAAATTTTAAGATCTCTCTCAAAACCACTGATACTCTCAAAAATAATTTTGTCCTCCTTGTTAACTCTGCTGACTAAGAACTAAAATCTGTGCTTTATAACATCTGTACTACATAAGGGATGCTTTATTCAAATCCAAATCAAAAAGTCTAATGGTTTCATCACAAGTATAACTCTCTCTGCATTACTCCATTTGGGATTTTCTTTTCTTTCATGACCATGCTTACAATGCAAGCATGTTAACAAGCTAACAAATGGCCTTTATGTTGATTTTCCTGTCTCCTGAGGTTAAAGATAATTTTTAGTGATTCCAATTCTTCCAATTGTTTGGAGAACAATCCTTATACCAATGGCAATACTTGCTCTTGCAGTATTTCAAATTTGTGCCACACTACAGCAGTTAACAGCACTTCGAAGTGCTGAAAAATGTTTGCTTTTGAGAAGACTAAATTAACCATTTTGCTCGTTCTGAAATGCGAGGCTCTAACATCATCTGATAGTAAAGAACCTCTCCAGTATGAAGCAATGAACAAATTCACCAACAGGAAACAATGTCCCAGCTGTCCTAGCAATGGTGTCCCAACTTTCTCTCTTCTAGGAACGTTCTTCATGTAATACAGCTCATTCTCTGAGATTCAACAGCAACGAGAACATTTTATCTGACAGAAGGAACAGGTTTCAGTTTGAAACCAACACACAGCACTACTGAAGGATAAGCTAGCAGTTTTCAAAATAATCTTGTATATACACAGCAAACAGCACCCATAGAAATCCTTGGTTTGACATCAAAACCAACTAATAACAGGATTTACTTTAGGACAATCCCATTGTTTTGCTAAGGTCTAAAAGCAAAGATCAGAACATGGTGGTCTGTAATGAAGTCAATAGAAAAATCGTTCACTAACAACTGCTGGATAAGGACTTCCGTCACAGAATTTAGCATGAGCTCCTACTGACCCACAATAAGATATCAAATCAGAATAACTTGTTTGGGTGTCTGCCTCGACTATACTGCCAAGGGTTGGTACAATGTGCTGTGGGACTATTTCATATGTCAACTTTTCTATGGTTTCTCTATCTCCAGTCATTCATTCATTTTCAATCTACATTCATCAGCGAGTTCATGCATCGATTCATTTAATGAGCTGATGTATTTTAAAAATCATCTCTGTAGCCAAATATTTCAGTGAATTCACTAAAGCAGAGTCAAGCGGAAACAGAACAAGTCATGAGAATCTCCAAACACTGCAATAAGTTTGTCAGCTGAGAAAGTCTGCAGGAATTTGCCATTCCAGATGAAAGAAGTCTGAGGTGGCTGTGTTCGATAATGACAGCTTCTATCTTAAATAAGGAAAGCCTCCAATACTTAAATCAACTGTGATTCAGAATTAATTTTAAAAATGAACAGCTAGCTACAAAGGCTCAGGTTCCACCTCTTTTAAACTACCACCATAAAGCAAAACTAAGAAAGACATCTTGTTCTTCAGATTTTTGTCCTTAACAGTTGTTTGCATCTGCCACCTCCACCCTCAAACCACGGAAATCGACTCCTATTTTCACTTACAGCCTGCACAGCTATTAACAGGCTACTGCTCTTTGTCTGAGCTTCCAGAGCGAAGAAACATTACAGCAACTAAGTAACAAAATCAGTCATCACAGAGTTTCCTCAATTCCTTCAAAGTTACCAGCCTGTGATGCGGCTGGGATCCTACATAGGGCTTGGGAACTTCCTGCAGCCTGCCCTCAGATAAATGATCTGGCTTGAAGTCATTCCAAGTGCAAGTAAGATTCACCCTTTGCCATTTCTTGGTCCTCCAACAGCACACGCAGTGTTGTGAGTCTAGCTCTTTCTCCTGATGAAAGGTACAAAGTAGGAAAGCAACTTCCTTGCCAATACAGAAGAGAGTTGGATTGCTCTTACTTGGGAGGGGACGTGCCCAGGCTGCATGCACTTTTTTGTGGCTCACAGCTTCACCAAATTTCATGCCTATGCAATCTTCACATTCAAACTATTACGTTTATAATGATCCACCTCTCCATTTCAGCAGAGCACTAAGTGTATCCCACTGCCAGAATCAGTTAATACTGTTGGTCTAAGTGAGGACTTCCAAAAAGGTTTTCCTCATAAGCATGAGATTTCCTGAGATCATATATCAATCACAGTCTAGCTTTCAAACTATTCTGCCGGCAATACCCCTGAAGTACAACCAGTTGCTTTGCCAGGTGGAAAAAACATCACTTCAGAGCCTTCCTGTCAAAGGAACCTCTTTCAGCTATTTATTTGCACAACACAGGTGAGGAAAATGCCTGCAAAATTTGCTAAACTTATTTTGGAGATGTCAAAGCTTATCAACATCACATTACTGCAAAACAATAGTCCACATATTCTATCTAAAACACATGTGCAAAAACCCACAAGAAGTCAGCAGTATAGATCTGACTTTGAGTGCAAAAATAGCTCCCTCATCAATCCTTGCAAAATGACAAAATATCCAGAAGAAAAAAAAAAAATCTCTAAAAAATGAGTAAAATTCAGTAACCTTTTTGTTTCATCAGAGGAAAAAAGAAAAATAGCCACATTCAGGATTGTATTCAGTCAATCACTAACCAGAAGAAAATCAAGTGGTAAGATTAAAACATTTCCCAGAAAATGTCAACATATCAACATAACTAAATGCACTAAAAAACATCCAGGCAGCTATGAAGTAGATAGCCTAACACAGTGGAGAACTGAGGAAAAGCAAAAGCTACTTGCATCTGTCAAAATATGAAGGACTTTAAAATTGACAAATCCTCTTAAATGTTCCTGACAGCCTGCACACAGCACTTACTAGTGAGATGATCAAAGCAGCAGTAGGAATTGTCAACGTTAATTCTTTCATACGCAATGAAAAAACTGATGGTGCTGCTTACACGAATAAAACGCAATGAAGCACTTGCAGAGTTGTTACTACCCACATCAGAACAGCACAAGATTCCCATCTGCTTATTTCCAAAGGGAGACTGAAAAACACGATGTAGCCAATATGGTATTTGCTTCATTTAAATAAAGCACACAGCTGCGCGCTCTGACAGTTTGTTTCCCCTTGCACTGTGGGTGGGACTCACAACCCTTACACTAGATCACTCCAGCTGTCTCTGCTCTTGGAACACACGTTAGGATTCAAGTGGCTAACTGATGCTGTAAGAAACCTGAGCAATTTGAATGCTTTTTTTTTTTTAAATGTCCGCTCATTTATGCTAACAACTGAACATGAAGTGTAGAAACCAAACTGCACACACATTCTGTGAGACGAGAAACTACGCTTCAACTCTGAACAACAAACAACTTTGTGTATTTAGCTGATATCCTTCTATTTAACTGAAATGTCCCAAGAAGACTACCATGTCATATCCTCAGCACAGCTCTTGGAACGTATTCTTGTTCTTAGGATTCTTCAGCTGTTTTACCACTGTCCTGGAGAATCCTCTCTCCTGAAGAGCAGTCTGAAACTAGACAGGATTTTTTTGTTGTTTGCTTCTGTAATATATCAGGACAACTTATAATGTTTTAACAATTATCACTATAGCTTTGATGTCAATAGTCTGCTGCCTCCGAACAAATCACAAATCTTCCTAGGAGTTTCTTAGAAGTATATATATCAGGATGACTCCATTTTAATTGTATTTTTTTTTTTTTTTTTTTCCCTTTTTGGCTGTATTCTTTCTCTGATGATATGAAGAATAGACAGCATTCACTGCTAGCTCTTCTGCATTTCTCCTTCAAGTCACACTCTGAGCCCTTATTTTTTAATAGCACACTACTTCCAAAGCTCCATAACCAGCAATACTTCTTAAGAACCATCCATATTCAATGATCAAGAAATGTATGCAATAGACAATAAAAGGAAAATGCTAAAGAACAAAGAATTGAATTCCCACTGATGGCTGTCAAAAGACTAAACAAGTAACTTAATGGAACTGGATAGAAAGATTATCTTTAGAAGTAATACCTGTAGGATTGTAACATATTTCTTATATTTTTATACTCAATGCAAGTTCTGTTGAATATACACTTCATTGCATTTTCAACATATTATTTTATGGGAAAATGAAAGCCCAGTCGAAAAGAGGAGATTCCCAGAGAGTAGAAAAATAAGCCAGTATCCATGAAGAGAGAAAAGAAGCCACAACTAAAAGCTGAAGTACAAATACTGGTTAGAAGCTCTGCCATCTCCCAGCCATCAGAGGCATCTATCTGTCATCAGAACTTTGGGGGCAAAGTGGTAAAATAGAAGTTAAAATAATAAAAGCGAGTAGTTTTATTCTAGTGCACAGATTACAGTTAAGTTATGTTAGGTGTGCATCTAATTAATAGCAACAACAAATGAAATTTTTAGACAAATTTGTAAGATAATACTTCCCACTAAGGTCACAACGTTTCTTTCACAAGTTTGCTTTGGCAGTTTGATAACATTAAAATAAAGATGGAGTTCTAGCTTTTTTTTGTTGTTGTTCTTCCTGTAGGTGATATAAAAAGCTGCACTCTCAAACAAGGACAAAAACCTCACTTTGCTTCCTTTCACACAGGAGACAAGTAAAAAGTTCAAGATAGAAAAAAATTCTTCAAATGACTATAATGGATTGCACAAAAAAAGATCAGTAAGACTTCACACAAATAGTGGTCACTTTGGTAGGTAATACCTATGATTTCGTGATTTACATAGACTTTTTTTGTCCTGCTAGCATCTGGCATCTCAGTAAGAGACACAAAAAGACAGAAATTGTTCTAAACTGCCTTTACATCATTAATTTTCTGCACACAGGAACATACCTTTTCTGTCTCAGCTTTATCCTACAAGTATAGCCCAGATTTTTCTTATGTTGAACTAATAAAGAGAATTTTTAGGAAATCAATTTTTTTCCCAAATGCGAAGCATAGAAGACAAATCTATATGCAGACAATAGACTTCCTATGTTTTTGGCATGATTGTAGAAAAAGATCAGAACTGAAGCTTTTTCAGATACATATTGAAAGCATTCTTAGCCTAGATTAAAACAAATGATGTGCTTGAGGATAAAAGAGTACCTACAAGTGTCATTCACCTGTTCCTTGCCCTTTAATCCAATGTGCTTGTTTAATGATGCTTTGCCCATCCCACCTATCTTGTGATTAATACAGTTATTCAGACGGTTGACAGATTGCAGTATGGGTATTTATGAAAAATGTCTTTGCTCGGAAGGGCATTAAAACAAGCTAAAAGAATAAATGTAGAAACCAGACTGCATGCAGCACTAGGTTACAAACAGCCTCTAAATTATAAATGTATAAAATAAGATGTACTACACAAAACTTTCCACTCATACTCAGGCCTTTTGTGTTGACCATTCTTTGGGAAAAAAAAAAAAAAAAAAAAAAAAGATAGCCAAAGCACAGAATCACTCAAGGAAAAAGAATATTTTGTAGGATCAGGGCCTAAATTAATCACAGGAGCCACCATCCACCTGACTGATCAATATGAAGGTAATATTGAGTAACATACTTTCAACCAGCTACATGCTAAGAAGGCAGCAAATCACAGCCAGCTTTCACCAAAGTCAGCAACATGCTCACCTGAAGGCACTGGTACCATTAGTAAGGCAACGGATACAATTATACCCTGAATCAACATATTAAAAGCAAGTTGCTTAGCAGGGGATGACAACTGAAATACAGCAACATCAACATTAACTTAGGCCTTGATCCATTATGTACTGCAAGTACATAACAGTAAATCAAAACAGTAAAATTTTAATAAAAATGCCTTTTTTAAAATGGAAGATGCAGTAGCATATTAAAGCACTTCAAATATTTTTCAGTTTGTTTAATACTACGTATTATGCATATAACTTATCAAGAAGAATGGGACAAGCTATTTGAAAATATTCAGTTCTGCCAGCAAACAGGTAACACTAGTGGATAAACAAAAGCTTTAAAAAAAAAATAAATCTTCCTGCTTCCCTACTCAACACCAAGAACAAGAGGAAATTTTATATATAAGAGATTAAAAATAAAAGAAAATAAAAGCAAAGGTCATTTCTGTTGCCAATAAGCCTTTCAGATGCAAACATTTTACAATAATTTTATATACTAATTTTGCATTTCTGTTTTGAGTTTTCAGTCTTCTTTGAAGCAACTGGTTAGCACACTATTAAGGGTCTAATTCCTTTTAAACAAAGGCAGTCTTGTAAAGTGTGACAACTCTTGTAGGCACAAATATATCAAATGTGACAGGAAATGTACACTGCTAGACAACCCATAGGAGGCTTTTTGTAAGAGACCAGGCTTCATATAAACTTACAAGGTTCCATTATTGTACAGCTAGATGTTTTCAAAACTTTGGCACATTCAGAAAAATGCAGAGAGAGAAAGAGAGAGATGGACTCCCAAAAATATAAGAAAAGGGCTTCATAGAACAATGACAAACCATAATAAAATCCTTTCCTGAACTGTAAAGCAAGGGTGGTAACAAGGGAAAAAGAGAAAAAAAAATGCTGGTTGCTTTTCCTTGAACGTAGTAATTTGCAATAGAAATAGCCTGAATCACAGGGCAATTTTCTTTCTAGGGGCTAGGCCTTCTCTACCTTGCAATTGTTGGCTGGACATGACCAGGGTATGATCTCCTTGTGCTCGTGGCTTGCCTTTGTCTAGCCAGGAAGGACTGTCCTGAGCCTGTACTTGCCAGCCTGTCTTCTGCTGCTTTTTTATGCAGAGTCATCCCCTGTGGACAAAAACAAATTTCTCAAAAAAAAAACCCAAAAATACAACACTTGACAACTTTATTCATTTATATTTTATCATCCGCATCAACACTAAGTTGTTCTGAATTTCAAACATAAAGCATTACATTTTTAAAGGCATGACAAAGACATTCTTCCTGATCCATTACAGTTCCTCAATATTTTTTCAAATTACTGTCCAAATTTGGAGGAAATTGCTGAGAAGCAGGTCCTTTGTATTCCCACATCTGACAATTTCCTTTTCCACATAAGCACACAGTAATTGGACAAACCCTTTCAGAAGTGCCTCCCCTCATCACCCAACCCCCCTTAGTACGCTGAACCAGAAAAGTACTTTGCTTTTGAAAACAATGAAATTATTTTTATCTTTGTACTAGCTCACAGCAGGAGCACATCTTGAAAGTGTGTTTCCAGTGGGAGCAAATGTAAGGAGAAAATGAGAGAAGCGATGGGTTGTGTACAGAATAAAGGCTAATTAGAAAGGACATACACAAAACCATCAACACTCATCTTGACACTCGTGATTGACTGCTGAACCACATCTCTTTATTCAGCCCTGTATTCTGCACATCAGTGGTAGTAATGCAACAGATCTGGTCAAGGACACCTGCCACTTGAAAATCCCTTCAATATTTAAAAGATTCAAACACTTTGCTTAAGTACTATTTTTGCCTTACTATTCATGAACATAACAAGAACATAGAACATCAAGAAGGAAATTCTTCTGAAAGCGAGGAAGAATCTGAACTTCGTGGTGAAGAATGAAAAATGGATGTCAGTTGGGTCATATTAGAACAGCAGCTTCAATGCAGCCACATTCTACCAAGGAGATTTCTGAAAAGCATTTGTTAAAGGTGAAAAATGTCTCTGCATAAATACCCAGCAAAAGTTACATAGCTGCTCCCTAATACTCTGAACAATTAAAGGGGGTGCCAGGCCCACATTCATCTTCACTCGGGACTAAATTTGTACCCAAGGTTAAAGAGGTTGCTAGTTAGAGTTTACTGCAGTAGTAGACTATTGTTTCTTTTTGCCCCTTCATTAGAAATGATGAGAAGATTGGACATTGCAGAATCAAAGAAATTCAGGCACTGCAAGTCCATATACAGAAGGGCTAGAACTACAAGACAGCAACTAGAGGCTTCCAGCTTATCCCAACATTTTCAGAGGAATAAACTCCTACATAGTAGAAACTTCAAAACATGAAGAAACATAGAAAGAAATGTCCTGCCTGTTGGAAAACACTTTTCTAACAACAACAACATGTAAATAAATGAGGCATTTTACGAACAACCCATGTTTTAAAGTTTTGGAGTCTCTTACCATATTGTACCAGGCACTAACAATAAGCTTCTCCTCCATTTCTCTTTGATTTTTTGTTTTCTCATATTCTTTCTATAAAATAAACAAAATCATAAATTAAAAAAATATATAATAAAAGTATTAGTCTTTATCTAAAAAACAATAAGGAAATACGCATCAACAAGGAAATGTAAAGACTGATACCTCCAGTGAATGAAACATTCTATCCCGTTCCTGCAACTGATTTTTCAGAGCCTGAATCTCAGGAGTTGCACCTTGGTTTTGCTTAGGATCTAAGGTACGGATGACCTGTAAGATGAGACCAATTTGTGCTTAATTAAATGCTGCAAAAAATCAACCCAATGGAATGAAAAAAAAAAAAAAAAACCCTAAAAAACTTAAAGCACATCAGTAGTAAGAAAAGACACACCAAAATGTGGAACAGAGGAATGTGCAGTTTTAACAGGCTGAATCCTGCAAAACAATCTTGAAGAACTGCAAGACAGACGCTCTGAACATCAGCGGCAGCATGTTAGTGCATCCAAACAGGAGCCTCTTCTACATGACCACAAAATGAAACCATTAATGAGAAAAAGTGACACCTAAGAGGTTCAGTATCTCAGACCCACATATGCAGATCCTTTCACTGGTTGCACTACCTTGGGCCACAGTGGTGGAAACTTTTTTCTCAAGATCTTTTCTCGTTACAGCTCTTGTCTACCTACTTATGGCCTGTCAGCTCCTCCTTTACAGCTTAGAAATATCTTCAGACTGGAAAGATGCCACCTGGCACCAGATGGCATTGCTTCTAGAAAACTTTCTTATGTCAAGAAGCATGCTGTGGCATATGCATGGACGTTTACCTATTAATTAAACAATGTACATTTAGGTATGCTCATATATGGCATCCATTACAGGCAGCATCTGGGTGCTAAAAACCACAGAGCTAAACCAAGAAGAAATGCAGCATAACATCCAGATTCCTAACTCTTTAACAGAAAAAAACTGAAAACTTTTTAACAAAACGTGGATATATGGGAAAAGACTTCTTATTTGTCTTTCTACCCATTTCAGGTTAACATGTAGATGTTGAAATAAAACAGTACTTTAATGTACTGTATTTCTAAGAAAATAAACATTGGACATGGATACAGTTTCAGTAGTGGAAGGCTATGATTGCATGCATTTTCACACACTAAAAAAAGAATAACAGAAGTTGGTAAGAAGATCACAAAAACCTAATCTGACTAAAATAACTAATACTACTGTTGGATAAAATGTCCCATAGTAACACAGTACATACAAATAAATCTTATGAAAGGGGAAGTCAGCACTTTTTCATCAGAATATCCTGAGAAAGAGTAAGCAACATAAGGCATAAGGGGAAAAAAAAAAAAAAACAACAACGAAGTCTCAGCTACATTTGTGTGTACAGAAGCATAGCCTTTAGGAAAACCATCAAAAGTTCCCAGAAGTCCCAGCATACATGCTAATTAAAAAATATTTTTGCTCGTAAAGCTTTCTTCCCTTGTTAGTTTATACAGGTGGTTCTCTGACTGTGAAACACAGTGAGCTATTTCATATCACTTCTTAGTATGGACATGACTTCAGCTAATCTATAGCTCTGTCACTCAGAGACACAAGTTTTTAGAATTTAGACAAATTTAAAGAATTTTGATAAAGAAATAGGTTGTCACAGCAGTAGAAAAGGCTTAGCACACTTCTCCTTGTCATTTTCTGACGTCAGTAAGTCAGGTTTCACCGGGTGACTCCAGAAATCTGCTGCCATAGCTATATATGTTTACAGAGAAGCAGAAGGGGCTTACAGATAGACAGCAAAAGGGGACAGCCAGGAACACAAAAGTAAAACCTGAAGAATAAATCAATATTGTGTACCATAACGGTAAGATGGTAAAGAAACTCACCGTTTCTTTTCTTGTTCTTACCACTGTATATACAATTAACTTCTTTATTTTTTATTCCCAGAGACTGGACATGTGGTGCAGCCAGGAAATATTAATGCAGAACAAATATACTTACACTTTTGGCCTTTTCCAAATACTTTTTGTAACGCTCTTCCATTTGCTTCATTTCCTCCTCCTTCTTCCTTAAAGCTTCTTGTAATTCTTCAATTTTGAGTGCTTTATGTGAGGAGGTAAGCACATTGGAAAACAACAATTACATTATGTTTATTTTTCACAAGTTCAAACAGACATTTGAAGCACAGCCAGAACATACTGTAGTTAAGAAAAGCATACATAAGGAATGTAATTCAACAGATATCATAATTTGAATTACTGAACAGCTCAGGAAAAGAACAAAAGTGTACTTTTCCATAATCTCAAGCAATTGAAATACACAAGTTTTGTTTTAAAAAAATTATGAAAAATAAAGACAAAGGGAATAAAATCACTGCAATTAGTTAGCAGACTCACAAAACTTGTTTCTTAATACATTACGGATTGTGAAATATCTTGGTACTGTAACTGAGAGAATAGATAAACTCATTTTTATATGTGAGATTAATGATCGACAGGTGTGATGCTTAGATACATTCAATTGCAACACTGGACAAAAAAATTACCAGAATCACAACATTAATGTACTCAATTTAATCTCTTCCACAGCAGCACTGACCAGAAGGACAGTTTCACTGCACAGTCTTTTCCTGCGCTGATTAAAAAAATGTGCTGAGCCACATACAGTTTGTATAAACTACACATCTTCATAGGAAAAGACCAATTCCATCATTCTGTATCTAACAGCACATATCACTGGTGTGTGGCTCAGACAAAATTAGACAACTGGCAACTCACAATCTGTTTTGCAGCCTAATTTTGTCATGCTCTTTCATGTTTATCCTATAGTTTTCTCTTGAAACATTTGGAAAAACACTAAGCTGGTAACAAGATCAAGTCACATTCCAGCATGCCAGAGGACAAAGTCCTGCTGAAAGTCTTCACTGAACAATAAGAGAATCAAATTAAATGATCTTCAAGATTATAAAATTAATTTTTCATGGTGGGATGATTCTTGTATAACTCCCAATCCTTTTGGAAACACCCAGGACACCTAAAATAACCTGAAGAAATAATTCACACAACTTTAATCCTGAGTGTGAAGAAGTACCAGTATTTTTATTTCAATGGGACTGAAAATGGGAAAAAACAGATTTTTAAAAAGCAACTACAGAAGCTTTAACACATCTTGACTTCTCTAAGTCAGAGAGTCAGTAAATTGTTCTTACACTTAACACTAAGGCTTATCAAGTATGACAGGATCCTAAGTTTATTATCTTCTCTTTCAGTCCCTGATCTTCAATTCCAAGAGTTCTACCATTTGCTATGACAGAGTTTTACAACGCATATTGTAGTTTTGGCTCAACACAACTAAAATTTCCTTTTGTATAGGGGATTTGTGCAATGAATACTGCAATTATTTTTGTCTTCTTGGATCTCTTCACGACTAGAATTTTTTTTTGCATATACCAGAGAAACTAAAATTGGTTGCAAGTTTTTGCCTTGTTCTATAAAGTGAGTAAGCTTCAAAACAACAACATAGCTCTAGTAATATTTCTCAAGAAATAAATAGCATGACTGTACTAAAAATCAGTCGTTAACAGCTAGATGCTAAGAGTTTGGAAACCATCTGTCTATATGATATAAAACTGACACTCTTGTTGACCACTGTCCAAAAGCTTTCTCAAATTACAACACAGTTCTAATCTGTCACCTGAAAACATGCTGAAGGAATACGTATTGTCAGTAAAAATAACCTAGGGATCTTCAAAATTAAGATGCTAGGAGATATGACAGTTCTGAGCAGCTGAGGTTCAACAACAGTTATGATACTGAGTAGCTATTTCTGTGGTCATTATCATGGTGGTCTTTCACATACCATCTCCTTTATTTCGAGTATTATAAGCATTTTTCTGGCCACAATAAATTCTGAAGAAATTAACAACAACTATCAATGCCATTTAACATGTACATTTTGTTTAACCTGCATTTTCCACAGGCATTCTAATTAAAGACCTCACAAATGAAATACTTTACAAATAAAAGGAATAGACTGAATGTCAGTAAACTCACAACTGTTATTGCATCTTGGTTCCAAATCCTCAATAATAGCTTGTTTCTTCTGTAGCTCATTATTAGCTTCATGGAGCTTCACACTGTCACAAATCAAAAAAGCACACGTGGTTTTCCCAGCGTACTTACTGCGATTGAATGAACATTAAATGATGTATAAGAAAACTCAAACAGCCATGTATTTGTTACGGCACTACCAATTTCTGCCATGGGGCACAAGGTCAAAAGGCAGGTATATCAATGTCACCGTGGAAATATTTGTTACATAAGCTGAAAATTATTACAGTATATGGAGAAAAAGCAGCTTCATTCTCAGTCCAAAATTAGGAACTTATCTTAGAACGTACAGTAAATTTTGCAACTGATGCCTAAAATGAATAGTTGTAACTTAGATGACATTATGAAAGAATGGATAAATCCCAAAGCAACAGAAACCATGTGAACAACTTATCAAATAAGAAAGTGAGCATCTCCTCATATTTCAGAAAGTAGAAATAGTAGAACAAAATAACAGCACTTCCTAAAAGGTTCTTTTATGCCCTATTAATGCAAAGAGATTATTTTTGTTTACATTACAATGTTTCCCTCAGAACTTACTCATCTTATGCAATGTTAGGCAATGTGTTCTAATTATCACAATAGTGATAAGTCAAAAGTGATGGCTCACTTACAGCTTTTACTATTTTGCAAGGGTATTCTATTAAATGAAAATAATACCCAAATAGCAGATTCCCTAACTCTTCCATGCAAAGCAGTTTCTCTGAATTGTTTATCTTTTAGATGCATTATTCATGACTGTCTGCTTTTCCTGCCATATGGAAAACACATTTTAAATGGAAAGCAAAATAAGACTAACATAATACTTACAGATTTTCTTCAAGTTTCTTTTTCAGAAGAACTGACTAAAATGGAAAGTTAAATGTGTTACTTATGTATATTGTGGTGCTTTAATGTAATTTCAAAATTATTTTTAAGATACAATTTTGACATTCTAACCAAAATCCACCATTTTATTTCACTCAGATTTAGACCACAATTGTAAACCTGTCCTCTGTGGTAGTTTTCCTCAACAGCTGTGTGACTACTCTGAAATTAGAATGCTCCATATTTTCACAGATATTTCCCCAGGAACTAGATCAATATAAGTAAGATCCATAAAGGACAATGTTCTTCAGCAGTTTTAATCAGACTTAACAAATTAACCTGGAATAGAAAGTGCAGCAAAATTCACTAGAAGAATCGCCTTAGCAGTACTGCAAAGCAATTGAATGAAGACGTGTAATAAGTTATTTGAACCTAATTCCTTTTCCCACAGAAACTAGAGGGAACGGAGTGTTTTGGACCAGAGAACAACAGATATTCTCATGACTTTTCTGTTTCTCATCTGTACTGACATGTAAAAAAAAAAATTCATACAACTTACAGTGTTCCACTTTCTGGTTAATTCACATTTTGATAAGCTCTTTAAATAAAAGCTTCAAAGTAAATTTTATTTTAACTTTAAACTCACTTTATACACAGTGAGTACTTTTTGAAAAAAAATGAAATCAGTAAATGCCTGTGAGCTGAAAGTAGTGTTAAGTAAATAGAAAGCCATACTCACAATAACCTTGAGCAGAAGCCCATGCCAAGAAACAGAGGTATCATTAGTATTAAGCAAAACAGCAGCCAACAGAAGAAACTGTTTAGAAAGTACACGAACAGAAAAGTTAAAGCTATGCATATTTTCAGGCATGTGCATTTTTCTCCTCCGTTCTCATCAACTGCTTCATACTGTAACGTTTTCTAAAACACACTACTAAAAAATTTTAAAAATCATAAAAAGCATATTTTTAAATATTCAAACTAGAATTTCAAAGGAGAACAACCGCTTTTTGAAAAGTTATGTAAGAAAAAATTAATGCGAGTAACACAACAGGAGAAAATATGCAATCTATTGGACTACAACCACTATGAAGAGATGTGTATGTTTTCCTGGGGTGATTATGAACTGTGCTTTTTCTCTGTTTTGTTTTGTGTTTATCCTACACCAACTGAAGAGGAACTGTAGCATGTGATGGCATTCTAGAGCAACTGTCATCAGCAGCCTTCACTGTTTATCCTCCAGTGGTCTTGCAGTGCATGTTTTGACCAGTAGGAACAATTACAGTGTGCATCACCCCCAAATGCTAGGTTTGTTAAAGGCTTCAAAGATAAAGGCTTCCAAATGTTGTCTTTGATCACACTCCTGGGTCAAATTTTATGATTCCTAACTTGCAATGTGTAAGCCAACTTCAAAGTTGCATTTCTTTATTGCACATTTATAATAAAATGGGGGAGTATGCAAAAAATAAGTCATTTTTTTTTAAGCATTCTTTCTCCTTTTTGGGGTCTAAATTTGGCTTTGTTCTGTATGTTAAGGCTGCAGGCAGATGACTGTGATCTGGCTTGAGGTTAGACTAACTAAACAGGATGAGAGAAACTATAGCACGTGATTTGAGAAAATTGCCTGATACAACAGCTAACAATGTCAGAAGCTGAGAAAAGCACCAGGATGGCCAGATTTCACAAACAGGTAGGAGTAATAAGCAAAGCTGCTGACTTCATAAGAAACCAAACAGGCAACAGAATTCTGGGGACCTTTCAGGGAGAAGCTAAGTCAGGAGGACATAGTAAGTGTATTAACAATAGCATATAAAGCCAAGATTGCCTATGTAACAGTATGAAAAATTCCCAATTTGTTAGAGAGTTAGCAGAACTTGGTCTAGAGAAGTGGAAGTATTCAAAGGTCAGTTGTTTATTTAGGACTATATTTACAGTCGGCAGAAAAAGAGAGAACAAGTGGGAAGAACAGGAGTGATAAAGCAAGCAAATGACATAAGGCTGTCTGGAGTTCTTGCTGAACAGCCCTACGCATGTACATGTTCCGAAAGACAACAAATCAAACCTGCTATTCCAACACACCACAGATGTCTCACTTAATATGGCAGTCTGGAAGATCAGAGAGTAAGGAGGCCATTTCCTGGCTAGTAATGCAGTACCCAGAGGGGACTATTCATGAATCCCAACATGCTGTGCAAGTGCCTGTTACAGGCCTATTCACACTGATGTCTTCCTAACATCCCCTTTCCACTGCATCTTCAGTACAAAAATCAAATTGCGTCCCAATCTGGATCTTGGCAATGACATTTGTCTGGGTTAGAAAAACACTTTTACTGCTTCTTGAGCAAGCCTAGAACTTCAGCTTTGAGAACAAAAAATACTAGAAGAACAAAAAAACCCACAAAAAAAAAAACCAAACAAACAATGACAAGAATACAAACAGGACCTTCAGTTTTCAAGGTTGTTCATATTTACACTGCTAAGTATGCAAAAGCAAGGATTTCAATGCACTGTTGCAGAAAAGTAGTAAAAATCAGAAAAAAGTTGGTCAAACAATGAACTGCGTGCTGTGTGCCTCTTTATCTCTGTTCTCATAAATCTGAAGAATCACTTTTTAAGGATAGCTTGTGGACAACTTCAAGATGTCTGAGTACAACCTGATTACCCTTGACACTGGGTTTAACTTTGAGGTTTGCTATGCTTTGTTAGACTGGATGAGGTGTCCATTGATTCAGATGTTCTTGCAACCTTTACTGATCTGACTCTATACTCTTTTTAGGCCTGTAACTAGCGGTGTTCCTCAGGGGTCGGTGCTGAGTCCGGTCTTGTTCAACATCTTCATCAATGACCTTGATGAGGGGATAGTGGCCACCCTCAGCAAGTTTGCTGATGATACGAAGTTGGGAGGATTGGCTGACACACCTGAAGGCTGTGCTGCCATTCAGCGAGACCTGGACACGCTGGAGAGCTGGGCAGAAAAAAACCGGATGAGGTTTAACAAAAGCAAGTGTAGAGTCTTGCATCTGGGGAGGAATAATTGCATGCACCAGTACAGGTTGGGGGATGAGCTGCTGGAAAGGAGCTCTGCGGAGAGGGACAGGTGGACGACAGGTTGGCCATAGCCAGCAGTTTGCCCTTGTGGCCAAAAAGGCCAATGGCTTACTGGGGTGCATTAAAAAGAGCGTGGCCAGCAGGTCGAAGGAGGTGATCCTCCCCCTCTACTCTGCCCTGGTAAGGCCTCATCTGGAGTACTGTGTCCAGTTCTGGGCTCCCCAGTACAAAAAAGACAGGGATCTCTTGGAAAGAGTCCAGCGGAGGGCCACAAAAATGGTGAAGGGTCTGGAGCATCTCTCCTATGAGGAAAGGCTGAGTGAACTGGATCTGTTCAGCCTTGAGAAAAGAAGACTGAGAGGGGACCTGATCCAGGACTATAAATATCTGAGGTGTGGGGGGCAGAATGGCGAGGCCAGACTGTTTTCAGTGGTGAGTGGAGACAGGACAAGGGGAAACGGCTGGAAACTGCAGCATAGGAAGTTCTGCACCAATGTGTGCAAGAACTTCTTTACAGTGAGGTGACGGAGCACTGGAACAGGCTGCCCAGGGAGGTGGTGGAGTCTCCTTCTCTGGAGATGTTCAAGACCTACCTGGATGCCTTCCTGTGCGACCTGCTGTAGGGAACCTGCTTTGGCAGGGGGGTTGGACTTGATGATCTCTGGAGGTCCCTTCCAACTCCTACAATTCTGTGATCCTCTGATTCTTTTACTTCTTTAAGAGAAGTGAAGGCCTACATACTAAGCTCAGCAAAACAGGCCAAGAGGTTAGTGTGTATTTATTACCACTGGCTTGGTCAGACCTATACAGAAGTGAGGAAAGCAGCTAATTGAACAAACTCCAGCTCTGCCTAGCAACACCTGTCTGCACACACACAGCACTCTGTACCATGGTGCTGTTTTACTACTCGCATAATCACCTCACATTATACCTACACAGGCTGCAATCAGTTCTGTAAACAAGCTGCAGACGTGCCCTAAACTACAGCCCAAATTAGAGCTTTAAAAAGGAACAGAATTCCAGTGCAGTAAATAATGCTGAATTCAATTAAATAGGGACTATTCACAATACACAGTACCTGAGAATACTGTTTTCATATTCTTGTTCATCTTGGAAAATCAGATTTTAGTAAATGAACAAGAATGCAAAGAATATAAGAATCATAAAATAGCATGAACCTATTTTAAAAGAAACTCTAAAACACGTTCTAAATTACTTCAGGAAATGGCCTCAATTGAACCAGATTATGGTCTTTACAGTCATGCAGTATATTCTAAAAATTAATGGAAAAAACTAAATTAAAAACTCTTAAATGAAAACAAGCAGTTAGAAGATCTGTCATTTTTTAATATAAATCACTTAAAATAAAAACACAAAAATAGAATGCAACACATTACAACTTGTTGCCAATTAGCAGAGCAATACACTGGTATTGTGAGTGCACACTGTATATATAGATAGATAGACATATCCTGCAAATCACTGTTTTCAAGAAAGTTTAGAGAGCTTCTTGTATCAAATACAGGAGGTGGCAAAAGCATTTTTTGAGTGGAAAACTGAAAGTTGTTCTTCACGCTAACTTGTCATGATGCGTACTCTCAAATTTGCAACAAAAGTGACTCTGTGTGTGGAAACAGAAAATGCTATATTATGTTAAGTGACTAATCATTTGCCATTTTCAGTTTTGGTCTGCCAAGCTTCTTGCATTAGCTGATACGTTAAAAAAAAATTACAGGGCATCCACCAACAGGAAAGACCTTAAATTCCACTAATGAAACAAAAATATCTTCAGATACATTATTAAGATGTGGAGAATGAACACGTCCTTAATTCCCCTCAAAACTCTTTATTCTAACTGTATAATTTTAAACAATGCTTTCTTCGGTATTGGAACAGACAAAATTTAATCAAATAAAACATATTTGATACTTTCTCTGCATAGAATGTTTGTGTTTTTTCCCTTACAAAAATGTCTTATATTCTATCTAAAGAACAATTTAGTGTTAAGGCAGTAACAAAGAATATGCTAAACAATGAGAAATTCCTAGCAGTCTGATTCATTACTAAATAACAAGCTGAAACTTCTACAAAAAGTTCTTGTTTAAATCACTACAACTACTTGAACGTAAGCTTGACTCAGATTTCTACTTACATCTTCAGCTTCTGAATCTTGATCTTGCAAAGATTTTTGTAGTTCTTCAATCTGGGATTGCACTTCAAGAAGTCTCTGATTTACCAATCTATGAAATAAGTAAAATTTTATTTTTCAGAAAAGAACAAAAAATTTCAAGATGATGCTTGAGACTTTTAGGGTTTGCTGTTTCCAGATCTACATAAGAGATACAATACTGCATTTTATTCACTAAGAATTTATAACAGAACTTAGTACAACAGTTCCAGAGGTCAGAGTCGGCAGCCTCCCAGAACATTTTGATACCTTTCCAAGTCAGTGTTTCATGTAAGTCATAAGAAATTATTTCCATATATACACAAGAAGAGTTTCTAACTCTTTTTGACTTTGTGTGAAGACAACTACCGTATTGCCTTTATGCAGTCACAGAACCCTAACAACCTGCAGGCTGGTAAAGACCTCCTGAGTTTATTTATCTAAATATAATTTATAATTATATAATTTATTCATCTAAATATCTTGAAGCAGGTCCAAGTACAGCAGACTACTGTAATGCTGAGGTCTGGATGCCACTACAGATGGAGGTCTGACAATTTCTTTGTACCTCTTCTCTAAATTTCTTTTGGACATTTTTTTCCTTTTGTATTCCTTCAGAATCTCTTGTACTTAAGATAGTTTCCACTGCGTCTTGTACTTCCACTGTCAACCAGCTGACTTCTTCACACATTCCCATTATGCAGATGTATATCACAGAATGATCTCTCCTGTCATCTTTTTTTCAGGCTGAACAAACCCTGTCCTCTGTCTTACCCCACATGACGTGCTCCAGTGTCCCTCACCTCAGTACTCCTGTATGTCCACATATTTTCTACACTGATATGTCCAAAACTACGTGCTACATCCAAAAGTGGCCTTGCAAGTGCTAATCGTAAGTGAAGGACCATTTTTCTCAACTAGCTCCCACCAGCTAATTTTTCCACACTGTTGTTAGCACTACTGTTCACTACAATTGAGTTCACCACTCAGTCTATACGCCACCGTTTGGAATATGAACATACCATGAAAGACTGTGACAAAGGCTTTGCCAAAGCCACTTCCACATAGGCAGCCACTCATTTCATTGTAGAAGACAATTACATTAGTCAGGCCTGAAATATTCACATTGACCTTCCCTGTCCCTCCCGTGACTGGAAGCAGATTCCAGATTTCAGTCAGCCTTGGATCCTTTTTCTTGTCTTTTTGAAGGTGAGTGTGGCACTGAGCTTTTCTCAAACTTCAAAAACTTCAATCAATTACCAAGACCTTTCAAAGATTAAATGATGAGCAGCCACACACAAGTAAGAGTCAGCTTTACTTAGCATTACCTTAGCATCCTCAGATGCATCTTGTCTCCATGGATATCTATATCAAAGAACATGTGATGCTGTGTTCTGACTATTACCAATCATGGAGACAACCTTTCTGGGCATCACATTCCAGTGTTTAGCAACACTCACAGTAAAGAGGTATTTTCTTACATTTACATAGAATTTCACGTGTTTCAGTTTTTGCCCATTGCCTCTTCTGCCTCTCTACTGAAAAGACTCTAGCTCCCTTTCCTTTAGGCACTTCCACTAGATATTTTTAAACATTAATCACATCCCCCCTCTAGCCTGCCTTCTTTCCAGCCTCCCTATCTCTCAGATTCTTTTTGTTCTGCAGTACTTCAATCACATCCTTTCAGCATTTCACTCAATACAGTAAATCTATGCTTTTGTTGTGCTGGGGAACCTTGTGTTGGACAAAAAGTGTCAAAAGTGTACTGTCTGAAAAAAATCAGTGCAACTTGGGGGGCAGAAGACAATATTTCTTACCTGTTCTCTGTCTCCAATTCATTCTTCCGTAAATCTGCATCATCAAGAAGGCTCTGCAACAAGGCAATCTTTTCGTTGTCAGAACCTTCCTGGTTCAACTTTAAGATCTTGTTTTCATGCTGAAGACGGATGAGTTTTTCCCTAAACAATTTGAAACACAATTTTCCAGAAATTGTAAACAGATTACCACAGGATGTGTAAAGATTGCATAAAGATTCTCTTTACCTATTTAAGGAAGACATATGAAGCCACAATTATGTCTTCAAGCCTCCAAATTAAAATCCAGTTAAAAGAGCTATAATTTTTGAAAGTAATACAACAGAAAATTGCCTAAATCACTCTATTAGATATCAGAGTATAGCACAACATGTTTATTAGGTAGAATACAGAAAATCTAGAACTAAGTGCCAAGCATCAAGGGAGGTTGTAATCTCAGTTGTACATGAACTACTGCTAGAACCTGGGGAAGCTACTTCTGCTTCAGAGTTTGCTTTTCCTCATGTTTCCTGTTGATATACACAGGTGCAACTGACAGGCCTGACTGCAAAAATTTCCCAGCTAGTCCGCTGGCTTCCTCCATGAGGTGAAGAAAGGTGCTTGCAAACAGATTAATGTCCTGTCACAATGTGGGGAATGTGAGAACAGTAGCTGCTGCTTGAAATCCAAAATGAGTTGGAAAACATTAACTGCATAAACTTTTCAGCACTTATTAAGATGTAAACCACTCATTTATGGGTAGATCATAATAGTTAGTATAACAAAGCACACATATTAGCTTACTTTATTTCAGGAGTAACAATTTCTGCTGCTAAACTGTCTGAAGATTCTTGTCTTCCTAGGAGCATCGATCCTGAGTCAGAAAAAGTAAAACATTTAGCAAGCAGACCAGTTACTTTCTTTTAAAGAAACAGAAGTAAATTTGTTCTACAAGTTTGTAATTTTAGAGTAATGCTATAGAATGGAAAATGATACAGAATCAAGCTACAGGAGGATAGGCAAGCACAATTTCATTTGAAAAACAACTGCTATTTCTGCCTACAATCAATCTGGTCAACATATTTTGTGGTGATTTTCTCAACAGATTATTCAAAAAGCTGTGCAACATAATAAACACACTGCAACACATGAAATACCACACATACTTGAGAAAGCATAAGTAATTTTCTTCAGACTGACTAAACAATTTAGAAATACATCCTAGAACTACCACAGTGAGGAGTCTAAAAGTTCTGAAATCAGAAGTTACGCAAGTTATGAGTAGTAAAAGCAGCTTCTCACTGATGCTTTCAAAGAAAGCATTTATTTTCTCCCAAAGTACAATCAATACTGTTCAGATAAATTTCTTGATCTTTAGAAAAGATGCTTTTAATCTCCACATTTGTTACCTGTAGGGGTGAGTTGACCCTCCTGTGCTTGTACACACCTGAGCTCTTCAATAGTTTCTTTCAAAGAATCCCTTTCTGTTCTTAATCTCTAAATAATTGGAAAGAGAATAAATGTAAGTTTTGGCACTGCCATTCCATCTTTAAACTATGCAATTTGATGAAAGGCATAGCATCAACACTTTCAAAAGAATTGAATGTGATATCAGAGACTGCTTTTCGCATTAAGGCATCTCAGCTTATTTCACAACAGAATAAGAAGAAATTTAAAGTATTTCACACAAACAGTGTTATTTTTGATGCTCTGCTAACGCAGCTATGGGGAGTAAAAACATTAGGGTACAAGCTGACACCATCATTTTATTAGTGACATAAAGTTCTGGTACCACATAAGAAACAGTATGTACAGGAACCAGTAAGCCATCTTCCTCTTCACTTTCCCTTGGAACAAATCCCTGATGAAGGGAAGTGAGAAGACACTGCAGACGTTTCCTTCACCATGAAATCAAGACTTAGCCAAGAGTGAAATAAAAGACACAGTCAACACAAAAGACAAACTTGATTAACTTGGTTTTGTTTCTCTTTCAGCAGCAAAAGTGTGAGCAGCAGTTCCATAACCCCTTCCTGACTTGTGTCAACTGGCCCTGCCAATCACCAGCCAGCATCACAGGTACTTAAGATGACTAAGACCTAAGACTCAGTCCAAAGAACTGAAAAACAGAACAGGCCCATCTTGGGATCTAGACAGATGGGCTCTAAAGTAGCATCATGTAAATACACTCCCATCTGACAGAAGTCTCCTTTTGGCAAAAATGAGAATTAACAGATAACACCAAGTTTTAATCGTGAAAGATTCCGACAGTGAAAAATGAAAGGAGAGAACAGCAACTATTTAAAGATATAAGTTGTAGTTTGCTCCAGTATCAGAAATATCCAGCACCACTAAAAGGCCCAAGTCAAACCTCAACTCTGCATAGGTACAGAGCTGTGTATACTGATAGCTCCTTGAATCCAATCATATTAACAGTTTGATGTATTTTATATTTCAGCCTAAATGGACCCCTAACTTGGAAAACCCTTGGCAAAGACTTTATTGGTGAGGTGTGGCAGAGGCTTCTGCTGTATTTCTGAATCCTAACCAGGGAACTCTGGTGCTACTGTCACAAGCATCTGGATACAGTGTGCATTCCGCTAGCACAGCAAGCCACTTCATGAGTCTTGCAGGTTAATGGCTTCACTATAAATACAGAAAAATGGCTGGTCAAAGGAATGTTCAAGTTCAGTTGCTGAAAGCAAAGATTCTGCAGTTTGTTGCAGTCAGAAGACATTAAGCCAATTAATCAAATGCTAGAATATTTCAACGAATAGACAATGCTCAAAGTCTTCATTTGTACAGTGAAGACAAAGTCAACTCATCCAATAATATTACGTCTCAAAAAACAGACCACAGAATTGAAATTCACCTGCAAAGCTAGAGATACAAAACCTTGTACCACACTTGGCCTGAATATAAAGAAAAGGACAAAACTGCCTCTAAAATGTAACTGACAAAGTACCGTCACGTGGCTTCTGATCTGCGATGGGCAACGCTAGTGATATGTATGTGATAACTGGGGAGAGCAGATAACATTGGTGCTGTATCACTAATACAAACGTTGAGAATCTTCAACTATAAACTAATTCTCAAAGGTGCATATCAATTCAGAAGAAAGTACTGAAAAACAACCTAAGTAAAAAGAATATGCTATTAGCCAGGCAGTAGCAAACTGAAAACTGTACAACAGTCACCTACAATTCAGATCCTTTGTGCAAGACAAAATGGTCTATCAAGCAACAGACAAGCCACAAACACAATCTTACTGCTGTTAAACATAATAAAATTGGAAAAACAAGCTTTAAATAAGAAGCAGAGATGAAAGCCAAAGCATAAATGATAACTATAAGCATTCCAATCTGAGCTGAAGAACAAATGGAAGTGAAAAGGACAACTGTTCAGAGTAGTTAAAAAATTAACAAAATATAGAAATCAAAGACCTGTGAACTGAAAATAAGTGAAGATTTACTACCTTACAGATACTATTTAAGGGTAAGGACTGCCCTTTCTTGAAAGGATTTAACAGGCAACAAGATATATTAAAGGAAATGCCTACAGAGAACTTTCCTGATGAATAAATGGATTTATACTTCAAGCTTGAGAAATTTCTAACTCAAAAGTGCCAGCCATGCTTAGGAGCACTGCAAATGCATTCCTAGGAAAAACAAACAAACAAAAAACTGGTGCGAAATAAGAGTATGCAAGAAAAAGTCTGAAAGTCTGGTCTTAGCAAGAGGGGACAGAGTAACTGATCTCAGAATTATCAGCTATATTAGCTATCATTAGTAAATGACAGAGAGGAACAGAACAGACCAGTCCTGTGTATTCCATGTTAACACTACAAGACAGGTCAATGAACTATCGTGAAAGGCGAGACTATAACAATGGAAACATCCTTCTACAACACTCCTAAGCCTCTTGCTGCAGCATTCACGACTATGTAAACAGAAGCATGCAGTTGGCATTTCAAAGAAAGATCTTAAAAGAAAAAAATAATAATTTAGTTATAAGGAAGATACTGCAAATACACCTACTTTAAATAGTCGTTCAGAATACGTGACAATTATGCTGAGCGTTTATTAACCTTCTCATGAGGAAAGGGCAAGAAACAATTTCAGATCTCAACTGTGAAGGCTCTTCATTTTTAAGAAGTGTTGCATATGATTTTAGTAGTTTAATTCTATGCTGTACAGTTCTTAGATTTAAAAAGTATATTATAAAACATACATGAGGAAATTATAAGTGAAAAAAAGGCTTCCTAATTTAAAAAGGTTGCTGTAAATGGCTAATTTTTATTATGACATCTCTCTGTTACAAAGGACACAAAGTTGCTTTCACTACTACCAAAAATAAAAACCCCACCACCTTGGCACTTACATCTTTTTCTTTTTGGAGGCTGTCTACTTTTTCTTTCAGCCGTTTGCATTCATAATCTAATTTATCAGCTTTCTTGGATTCTTCAGATAACCTGTTTTGTAGTTCAACTGCCTGTGAGAACAAGAATCAATAATTTGTCTGCAAATATTAGTATTAAAACAAAATACATAAAACAAAAGTAGCCAATTACCATGCACCACAAGTTATTTTGTAAAACAAGCAAAATGTTTATCTATAGGACTTCCAAAAACTTCTTGTTGTTCTGTGTTTCAGCAAAACTAACAGCATCCAAGTATTAGGTCTCATGACAAAAACAAGAAGCAAAACCTGTAAAATACATTCAATATATCTACAAACAGGACTGGAAGCTTAGCCAGGTCTAACAGGAAAAAAAAAAAGCTATGTACTTCTACAAATTGCTCAGGAGCAGTGCAAAAATCCTTCTGCTTTCTGAGAAGTGAAGAGGAAAAAAAAACCTTTGATGAAATTATCTACAATTGTTGTGAAGCCTTACTCAGAACTCAACTGCCAGTTTATGTAGTCAGATAATGTCTCTTAACCTGAGATTTTCCTAATTATTTTTTAATACACTAATATAAAGATTTGGCCAGAGGCTCATTATCAGTTTACTAAGAATGAAATACACGTCTAACAGTGTCAAGTATATACTTTTAACCACAGATCAGTAAAGATTTTATTTAATACATAGAAACAATCAGTGAACAGAAGGCAAATCAGTAAAGTTTTGCCTTTCCAAAGTTCTCAACATTTACTAACGAAAGCTCATTCTCAGACATTAGTAATACTCATAATGTAGAAAGCATAGAAGCAAGTAATCTGAATAAAGACTTAGCTGCAAATACATAAGCTGAATGATGATTCAGCTGAAGACATAAAACTTCTTCTGAAGCAATTCATAAGGTGGCTTTCTCTTTGGTTTCAGATTATAGAGAAGTGACTAACAATCTGTCAGTGCAAAACAGTAGCTGTGCCTATATAAGATGCCTAGCAGTTGCAATTACGTTTTACTTTCACTGTGAAAAACTATAAGAAAATTACCAGGCCTGAAAATCTGCATGGTCTTTGTCTTAGAATGAAAGATACTGGTTGTTTTTTTTTTTTTCTATTTGTGGTGCTTTTTTGTTGTTGGTTTTTTTTTTTTCTTGTTGATAAAGACATGAAATAATAAATTACATCTGCCATTTCTGAGATTAGAAAAAATTTACAACGCCAGATTGGAAAATATTTAATTTTTCAGATGTGACTTCCATCACTGGGGATACAAAAAGAATCGAGGCCTTCATCTACGATTTTGCCCTCTTTGTAAAATAGATACATTCCTATCTGAATTAGAATAAATGCATTAATGTCAGTAATAATTCAAGCTATGGTAATGTTATACAGAAAAACACAGCAGGAAATAAACTGCCCCAAATCAGCATTTGGGAGTGTTCAGAAAGATACACAGCTACATGGTAATGCAGAAGATTAAAAAAAAAATAAATAAATGAATGAATTGCCATAACGTTTACTGAGCATTATCTGACATGTGGAATGAGTAAAGCAGTAACCTTGCAAAGAAAAGCGGGACATACTGTTAAAAATAGAACACACAAGCACAAAGGGACTGAATCAAAATTACAAAAGTAATCATGGAATCTGCACATCTGAATTCTTCATGGTGCAATAAAAAGTTTCTCAGAAAATGCTTGCACTTGCTGTCGGAAAAGTGAGCAACGCCTCCTAAATAAGTGCTATTATGTCTCCAAGTACAATATGCCATCACCAAGCTTATCTTAAGGAAACTAATATTGATGAGATTTCCTTGCAGATCACTACAGCAGCTTGAACCTTCACCTGCACAGCACAAGTTTTCTTAGCCAGATAAATATCTCCAATAACTCTACTCTAATATCTTAACTGGGGTTGGATTCCTCCACACATCAGGGAAGACATGTTGCTCTACAGTAGCAAATGAGTGATCAATTGTGTAACATCTGAATCTTTAAACCTGGCTTAATTGTTATAGCAAAAGTTAAGATTCAGAGAAAATAATGGAATGACAGTTCACAATTCATAGCCAAAAAAATCCAACAGGACATGTAAGGTATATACGCTTTATGATCATTTTGAGACACTGTAATTAGGTGAAAGAAACTATCACCAAACTATCGCCTCTCACACGAGGGCACTTGATGTTTATTCCAGTCTCAGACAGTGGACCGGTTCTCTACAAATTATCAGCACCTCATATTGGAAATCTCACCCACGGAGCACTGAAAAGAAACAGTGCTTTTTGCAGAACAAATGACAGGACTGCTCCTTCCAAAATCCTTACCTCAGTTATGTACAATCAGATCTAGACACAAAGGTTACAAAGTCATCACAGAACCACAGAATTGTAGGAAGGGTCCAACCCCCCTGCCAAAGAGGCCCAATAAAGGAAGCTGCACATGTAGATGTCCAGGCAGGTCTTGAATTACTCCAGGAAAGGAGACTCCAAAACCTCCCTAGACAACCTGCTTCTGTGCTCCTTCACCCTCATCATGAAGAAGTTCTTTTGCGTACTGGTGTGGAATTTCCTCTGTTCCAGTGTATGGCCATTTCCCCTTGTCCAGTCCCCACAGACCACTGAAAAGAGATTGGTCAGATCCCTTTGTCTCTCACATTTAACGATACTTACAAACATTAATGCGATCCTCTCTCAGCCTTCATTTCTCAAGGCTGAACAGACACAGGTCACCCAGCCTTCCTTCATAGAGGAGATGCTCCAGGTCCTTTACCATTTTGAGGCCCTCCGTTGGGCTCTTTCCAGGAGATCTCTGTCTTTTTGTACCGGGGAGCCCAGAACTGTGTACAGCACTCCAGGTGAGGCCTTATCAGGGCAGAGCAGTGGGGGAGGATCACCTGCCTTGACTTGCTGGACACACTCCTTTTCATGTATCCCAGGATCCCAACAGCCTTCTTGGCACACTGCTTGCTCATGGCCACCCTGCTGTCCACCAGGATTCTCAGGTCTTTCTCCACATAGCTCCTCTCCAGCAGGTCTGCCCCCACTCTCTCCTGATACATCCTGTTACTCCTTCCCCAGTGCAAGACTGGACAGGTACAATACTTGCTCTTGTTAAACCTCATCTGGTTTCTCACTGCCCAGCTTTCCAGCCTCTCTAGCTCCTGCTAAATGATAGTACAGCCTTCTGTGGCCTACAGGCCACTTCTCCCAGCTTTGTATCGTGGGCATACTTGCTGAGGGTGCACACTATCCTCTCGCCAAGGTCATCAATGAGGATTTTGCACAAGACCAGGTCCAGCACTGAACCCTGCGGAGCACTGCTAGTCACAGGTCTCCAACCAGACTCTGCACCACTGATCATCACCCTCTGAGTTTGGCCAGCCAGCCAGTTCTCAACCCACCTCACTGTCCACTCATCTGTCCCACATTTTCTCTGCTTCAGTATCAGGATGCTGTGGGAGACAGTATCAAAAGCCTTGCTAAAGTCAAGATTGATGACATCCACTGTTTTCCCCCCATCTACCCAGCCACTGATGTCATCAGAGAAGGCTGCAGAGATGGTCGAGCACCATCTCCCCTTGATGAATCCATGCTGACTACTCCTGATAGCCTTCTTCTCTTCCAGCTGCTCAGAGATGGCATCCAGAACAAGCTGTTCCATCACCTTTCCAGGGACAGAGGTGAGACTGACTGGCCTGTAGTTTCCCACATCCTTTTTCTTGCCCTTTTTGAAGACACTGGCTATGCTCCAGTCTTCAGGCACCTCTCCTGTTCTCCAAGACCTGTCAAAGATGACAGAGCGGTCCGGCAGTCACCTCTGCCAGCTCCCTCAGCACACATGGATGCATCCCATTGGGTGCACCCCATCAGGACCCATGGATTTGTGCACACTGATCCCACCTAGATGCTCCTGGATCACTCCCTCCTCAACCAAAGGGAAGCTCTCCATTTCTCAGACTCTCATCCAGGACTCCTGGACGCTGGAGGGAAGAGTCTTTGAAGTGACTACTGAAGCTAAGAAGGTTCAGCATCTCCGCCTTCTCAGCATCCCCTGTTCCCAGGACACCTCCATCATTTAGCAGGAGACCCACATCATCCTAGTATTCCTTTTACCGTTAACATACTCAAGAAAACCCTTCCTATTATCCTTTATCTCCTTTGCCAGCTTCAGCTCCTGGTGAGCTTTAGCCATCCTCATCGCTTCCCTGCAGGCCGTGACAACACTCCTATACTCTTCCCAAGAGGATATGCCCTAATTTGCACATTTCATAAAGTTTCTTTTTCCCTTTGATCTCATCCACAAGCTCCTTGCTCATTCAACACAGGTCTCCTGCCTCCCTTCCCCAGTTTCCTACTCTTAGGGATGTACTGATCCTGAGCTTGGAAGAAGTGCTGTTCAAATGCTGCTCAGCTCTCACAAGCCCCCTTACTTTCAAGCACTCTAGCCCAAGAGATACTTATATTTGTGTACTCAGCTGTTAAAGGCAAGGAATATTTACGGCTAGTAAACATGATACTACTCCTGTGTGATCAGTTACTGCTTTCTGTATTTACTTTTTCCTTTGACTGTTATGTCAGTATTTTTCTCACCCAAGTTCTTTGTTTCTCATGGTATCACCTAAACTGTATCTACAATTAGCCCACAAGGGCTGAAGTTTGTTGTCTTAACAGTAAAGATGACCACATGCAGAAAAAGTTTTCAGGTCTCTGGACCACACGTTGTATCAGGGCTTCTAGTTTGTGGTTACTTTTGTGTTCTTTTTCTGCTGTAAGCTGGCGTGTACATGTAAGCATGGTAACATGACCACCCGGAGTATCAGATCAAGCAGAAATACATAGCAGGCACTACCAGTCTAACAAACTAGCCTCTGTCTGGCCCTGAAACAACAATCCAAGAATTATGTCACATCAGTGTAGAAGCAGGGAGATTAGCACACCCTCCTTCTTTACAGAAACAGGATCATGTAATGCCTTGTTAAGCAATACAAACAGACGTCCTTCACTCCAAAGAGTGCGCTGATTAAAAATTCTGTACTTTTCTGGGTGCATATAAACAAGGACAGTATACGTCCTTCTCTCTTTAGACAGTATACATCATTCTTCCTTTAGACCTGTATATAACTAGAAATTTCATACATATCAGACAAACTTGGAAAAAAAAGGATACTTAAACAAAGGAGTAACTTACCTCAACTGTGGTACATCCCTCGCTGCTGTAAATTTCTAAGTATATAATTTCTAAGTATATCTTAAAGAAGAGGCTGTAACCCAAGCCTTACTACTGAGTTTGAAAAAAATAACTCTCACACCCATTGATTTTTGTAAAGTACAAAGATGTTCGTGCTGACAAACACATTTTACACAGATGTAAGAATTGCAAGAACAGATAAGAAAGGCAATACCTAAAAAACAAGTAAAGAGGTGTTTGTTCATCATTTGTATTTTACTTTCAGGTATCAACTGTGTTACGACAAGGAAGTGTTTAAAAATGCAGAGAAATGTTGTGTTGATGACTTTCTCACCTGCCTCTTATACGTCTCCAGCTGACTGCGTGCTGCATTGGCCTTCCTCAGCTCCTCTTCCAGGCTTACAGTATTTTGCATGTACGCTGTATTCTTTTCTTCTAAGAGTTTCACTTGCCGACGCAAATCACCCAGGTCTTCTAATTTCTTCTTATAAGATTCCACTTGGCTTTCTAACTTGGCTACTTTATCAGAAGAATGCCTGGAGGGAAAGATTTGTATCAAATCTGTATTCTGAAAATGAAGAAAATCAAATGTCCCGAAGCTTCCTTCATGTTTAGAAGTAATGTAAAAGACATCCCAAGGCATCACAAGTAACACAAGGAAGTGATCATATCCTCACACTACCATATATTTTCACTACTAAACTTAATTTCCTTCCACCATCTGTTAATTCAAATAGCTGCTGATGGAAGGTACAATAATACTAAAACTATTATTTGACCACAAGTCTGTACCATCTTGAAGGTCACAGTACACATTTAATGTTTATTCAGTGTGGCCAGCTCCCCAGTGAAGCCACATGTGCAAGCTGCACTAATAGCTGAGTTGGTAGAAATAATGGAGTCTCCGTCCATCCACTGGTACAGATCAATACAATAATCCTGGTATTCCTGAACGTAGAGGAAGTACACTTTAGAACACCAGCTGAAGCAAAAATCAGTTTGCTTTTTTTTTTTAAAGCCTCCTGCTGGCAGACCAACATAATTTCAGGAATGAAGGTGCTTAGTGTGACTCAGAAGTGAAGTAACATTGGGGAGCAAAAAGACCATTATTACTCAGATTACTAACAAAGAGTTTAAATATGGACTACGTGCTGGAAAGATTCAAGGCAAAAGTTTATAAAAAATAGTTGATATGATATGATCATCTTCACTGAATCAGTAGGGAAAAACTGATCATATGGTGGTTTGATAAGGCTGCTTAACAGAAAGAAAACTAAACTATATAGTGAGGAGAGAGTCTGGATTATGGTTGCTACTTGGAAGTTGCCTGAGGGCTATGGTACACACATTAAGAAATGAACAAGTTAAAATATGTTGAAAGCTGAGAAAGAAAATATTACCCCAAAGCAGTACTGCACAAAATCCCAGAAATTAACAGAGTAAAAGCTTATGCATTATGACCCCAATTCCCTTCTGAAGTTCATCAGCAATGGCAACAGTTCTTAAAAACTGTTAGATTTGTATTTTAGAATAGGTCTAAAGTCATTACTGCTAGTTATGAAGCTAAGACAAAGACTATGGCACATCCAAAGTCCAACATCTCCAGTAGTTGAACACCATGTAACAAACTCCTCTGTCTCACAGGATGACAAAATTCAGATAATAGAACCCATAATGAAATTAGAAAAACCTGATGCATGCATCACCAGGAAGACAGTGACCATTCCTTCTCTGCTCCTAACCCCATCCCAGCTTCATTTTACAATTAATTTTACATACTCAGCTGCCTAAGAAATCTGGAGAATTCCATGTTGGTGATCAATTTATGAGACACTGGGGCAAGTAAAATCTTCTTAACTCCTCAATAAGGACAGACTCTGGAGCAAGACTTTGTTGTTGCACCTGTGCTTGTGACACTGAAAGTGTATGGAACTGTGCAGTACCACAGGCTCATAACCAACATGAATGACAGAGAACATAAACATAGATGCTGCTGAAATAAATCCAGTGAATTAGAAGAATCAGTATTGTAATAAGTCACGTTAGCCTTGTGACAGACAATCTGAATAACTGATGGTAGCAAGAAGACAGTGATAATTACATTTCACAGCAAAAAGGGGCTTTTCCACTTTATAAACCCCCAGCACAGTTGGTTATCACAACTATGGGTTCTAAAATCCAGTGGTAAAAACAGCTGTCACATGTTAATATCATACAGAATTATAGAACAGCTTGGGTTGGAAAGGACCTCAAGGATCATGAATCTCCAACCCCCCTGCCACAGGCAAGGCCACCAACCTCCACATTTAATACTAGACCAGGCTGCCCAGGTCCCATCCAACCTGGCCTTGAACACCTCTAGGGACAGGGCATCCACAACCACTCCGGGCAGCCTGTTCCAGCACCTCACCACTCTCACAATAAAGAGCTTCTCTCTGATATCCAACCTAAATTTTCCCTCCTTCAACTTAAAACCATTTCCCCTTCTATTGTCCACCCTTCAAAAGAGTTGACTGCCCTTCTGTTTACAGGTTCCCTTTAGGTACTGGAAAGCTGCAATGAGGTTGCCCTGCAGCCTTCTCTTCTCCAGGCTGAGCAAGCCCAGCTCCCTCAACCTGTCTTTGTAGGAGAGGCGCTCCAGCCCTCTGATTAACTTAGTGGTCCTTCTCTGGACCCTCTCCAATAGCTCTGTCTTTCTTGTACCGGGGGCCTCAGACTTGGATGCAGTATTCCAGGTGGGGCCTCACGAGGGCAGAGCAGAGAGGGACAATCACCTCCCTGTCCCTGCTGGCCATGCCTCTCCCAGTGGAGTCAAGGATACCAATGGCCTTCCAAGGTGCAAGAGCACACTGCTGGCTCTTGTTTAGTTCTTCATCCACTAGGACCCCCAGGTTCTTCTCTTCAGGGCTGCTCTCAAGGACTGCTCCTTCTAGTCTGTATGGATGCCTGGGATTCCTCCGGCCCAAGTCCAAAACCTTGCACTTTGCTGTATTGAACTTCACTAGATTCACCTGGGCCCACCCTTCAAGCCTGTTGACATCCCTCTGAATGGCATCCCTTCCTTCCACCACGTCAACTGCACCACTCAGCTTGGTGTCGTCAGCTGAGAGTGCTCAAACTTGCTGAGAGTGCACTCAATTCCATCATCAATGTCACTGATAAAGATGTTAAGGAGCAACAGTCCCAAGACAGACCCCTGGGGGACACCACATGTTATCAGCCTCCATCTGGACACAGAACCATTGACCACCACCCTTTGTCCGCAGCCTGGATTTCTTATCCACCAAGTGGTTCAGCTGTCAAATCCACATCTCTCCAGTGTGGATGATGAGCCAAAGTGCCACCCAAAGTACAAACACAATACCACAAGAGGTCTATCTCCTTCACAAGAATGAACTCCCATATCATGAAGGGAACAGTAAGTGGAGAACAGTCTGCACTCAGAGATCAGTACGTGACTTGTTACAGCCGTAAGACAGTATAACATCGCTACATTTAATAATATTCATTAAGTGTCTAATCAATAGGTAACATTTGTTGAAGCAAAACTGTGGTGGTCTGTGTACCTCAGTACATCTATCTCATCCTTCAAAGATTGAGCTTCCTCTGCCAACGTAGTAAGCTCTTCTGTCTGTTGTCTCAATTCAGCAATTTCCTTCTCCAGTTCCTCACAGCGTATTCTGTAGTCATCTTTGGCAGCTTCTAATCTGTAGAAATAATGCAAAACAGAAAACAATTCCTTAGCTTGACCCACAGTTATCTTTCTTCACCATTTTCTCTATAAGAATACATCTTTTCTCTAAGATGACATACATAGGAAAGGAAAACAGCACTCTAATGTGCAACATCACATACACACCCAAATGCCAGGCTTATTGGAAAAGGATAGAAGCAAGTGAGTGTTCTGATTATTTTAATTTGATGTCAGTATTTCTATTAGGAACATCACAAGGATGTGATCTCTTAATAGAAAGACAATCTAACTTTTTTGTCACTGTACTTTTTCAGAAATGGATTTTCAAGCAGAAATTTCCAATCTTTTTCATCTTGAGCTGTACAGAGTTAGAATATGATGACTTTATCCCAGGACTTTATTTAGCTGTTCCAGTTCCATACACTTCCAATAGCATTAACCTGATGTACCATTGCCAGATGTACTATGAATAAAATAAGAATAAATAAAAAACACTATGAGGTGTTCTTATTTATTCTTACAGCTTTACTTGTTCTTAAGAATCAAGTAATTAACTACATATTTTGACCAGCACATAAAACAGAATAAAATTTCAGGGGTGAACTACTCATCTACAGTATATATAGGCAAAGCTGCATTAACCTGGCAGTGAACAGGGGGTATAACTAAGAGAAATTTTATTAAAACATTTGAAAGAGTAGAAACAGAAAACAAGTTGCAGCATAAAATACTATCCTAATTACGATCCAAAATTAAAATGAAGACAATCCAAAACAAGTACAAGCCAAAAAAGTACTTTGTCAATTAAAGGAATTCAGTAGGAAACCGAAGCAAGTTAACTGTAGCAAGAATAGGGGATAAATACGATCAGTAGGCCAGCTAAGCCAAATACAACAAAGGCTGGAATTTTGATAGTCCCAAACTGTCGAAGGACACAGAGTTAAGTTTGAAATAACAACACCAGACCACACTTCACATCAGTTAAGCTGTACATACATCTTGTTTGGTTGGGTAGAGCTGGAGAAAGAACACAGACATAAGATAGCAAATACTAACAAAGAAGCAAGAGGAGGTAAAGAACTGAAAGACAGGCTTCAGGTAAAAAAGATTTACAAAGCCCTCCAAAACCTGAAACTAGAGTAACTGGTAATGCAGATATTGAATAAGGGGAGAAAAATCTGTTTAATACAAATAGGAAACAGTCAAAAGGCTCAGGTACTTCACTTCAGTGAATCACTTCAGAGAACAGATATGACTCAGCAGTGTTAAAGGGTTTACACTAACGAGATACCACAGTACTATACCTTCACAGGGTAGACATACAGAAACAAGAAAACACACATAGGCTGCTACAAAAGAGAAATGTTAATTATTTTTCAGTGTACTGGAGAGAGATGATGCATCCGAACACTCGGAAAAAAGTCTTTGCAGGACAAGTGGAAAACACCAAAATAGACAAAAAAGGAAAGTTACTTGACAATTGGCAAAAGTATTTGAAAAACTCAATAGGGCAGGAAAACAAAAAAAAAAAGGAGAGAAATATTACAGTTTCAGTCACAAAGGAGAGGGAAAGTATAGCAATAAGTATGAAAAGACAACAGTGAAGTAGACTGCCTTTCCTCAGCATTATAGGCTTAGAGAGGCTGAAAGCAACAGCTGAAAGGATCGGGAAGGACAAATAAGGAAAAACTATTTTTCCACCCAGTGAAGAAATGCAAATGAGGAGTTGAGCTCAATACCTCAAAATCTCCATCTCTCAGATATGACATATTTTGTTTTCAGACCTAACAGAAGGACATACTTTGTTGCATAATACTACCACCCACAGTAAACGTTCAGCTAGGAATTTCTATGCCAACATAATAGAATCAGAATGATTTATACAAAGGAAAGCATGCTACCTTTCATCACCACTGATTCCCAAATACTGATGAAATGATTGCTCCCAAACAGTGTAAAACAGTGTAAACGGGGACAGGCAGACAGTATTTCATTATTGTACATAACTTTTGATAGTACAATGTATGAAAAGGTACATCTTAAAATCTTGAATATCATCAAAAACTTCACAACTGTCATAGTAGCACCAACTCCAATAATTCAGCCAGTGAAAACACAAACATATAGTTATGTCTGTTGTCAGCTACAAACAAGTTACAGGTAATTTCCATACCTGAATGTTTCCTCTTGGAGTTGTTCTAGTTGTGTTTGCAGTTGCAAATGCCTACGACCAGCAGGGCTGTTGGGATCTTCAATAGAGTCAGACTGATTTAAACGTTCCATCAAAATCTGGTTCTCAGCAAGCAAGCAGCTCTTCTCCTCCTGAAGGGCTGCAACCTGTTTTAATAGTTATGCAAACAGAATAATGGAGCAATCCAACTCTACAGATAAATATATATATTTTTGCATACATTATGAAGTAGTAACACAATCTAAAAAAATAAACATCCAGGTTTCACAAATCTCATTTTATAAGATCACAGTGCAACATTAATAGATATTCAATTGGTATGTAATGTAACTAGCACATGCCAGCATTAACAGCATTATCTGCCATTCAGAAATGTAATTCCTAACTGTAGTTCATGAATCCAGTATATCCAAGTCTGCACACTTTACAAACAAGTAAAACTAGCACTTCAGAATAACTTTTAAAACTGCCTTCCAAAGGAAACAATGTTTATCAATTCCATAATGGATATCCAAGGAAAGCCTGTATCCTTCCAAAAACTTTTTTGACCAGCAACTAACTGCTAACAACTGCAATTACTTGAACCTGGAAGACAATCTTAAAGATGACATGGTTTCCAACAGCTCTGTGAAAAAAAGCAGCAGTACAGAAGGAAAGAGCTGCAAACAGAAGCTGAAGCATGAGTTTGTATTTAATTAAACATTGTAAGATCAGCATGTTGAGGAAGAAGGCTAAAGAAGAAATATAAACCTCAACAGAAGGAAATGTTTCAGTATGAGCTTGCATTATTAAATACACCAGCATTAACCACCGAATACAACTCAAGGAATACAACTTCATTAATTCTAAGAGTTACTGAACAGCATGGCAAAAGGCTGAATTATACCCCAAAGGTTTCACTGACAGTGCCTTCCAGGGCTCCCACTTAACCCCTTTCATGTCTTCCAAGCACAATTTACAGGAAGGCTCAATTTAAGCCTACACTCAGCTGGCAGACAAGTGTAAATTGTGTCCACAATTTAAAAGGCAAATCACAGAATCAATCTGTGAAAAGATCTCTACCATCACCTAGTCCAACTGTATACCTACCACCAATACTGCCCATAAAATCACATCCCTAAATACTACATCTACCCTTCCCTTTAACACCTCCAAAGGAAGGTGACTCCACCATGTCACTGGACAGCCTGTTCCAATGTCTCACTACTCTTTCTGAGAAGAAATGTTTCCTAATATCCAGCCTGAACCTCACCTGGAGCAACTTGATGCCATTCCCTCTTTTTCTATCACTAATTACATGGGAGAAGAGGCTGACCTCCACCTTATCAGCTGGATTTAACTCCATTCACCATCACTCTCTCTGAGCCCAGCCCTTTAGCCAGCTGTTGACCCAGCAGAGATGGTGCATGTCCAAGCCATAAGTGCTGAAGTCTGGGTAGACTAGAGTACATTCACAGCCTCTCCCTCATATACCAAGCGGGTGACTCAGTCACAAAAGGAGATTAGGTTGGTCAGTGAGAGTCTGCCTTTTATGAACCCAGTGCTACAGTTGCACTACCTCTACTACCTCGAGGAGTTCTGCTTCAGGTGTTGAGCCACACAGCTCAATTCCTTTCTACTGTAATTGAAAAAAAAAAAAAAAAAAAAAAAAAAAAGAAAGTTTTGATGGTATTAATCATTTAATAATGGCAAATACTGTATCAAAATGAGGGAAAGTGAATTTCATTCTGTTCACACAAGTAAAGCAAAGTAATAAAAGTGCAAAAACATTATCATGCAATTTTCTTTTCCCTTTTAAAAATTCCTAGGACTACTTGTCTTAAGAAGTTTAAAAATTAACACATTTTTATCTCCATTATTATTAAAGAGGCACAATACAGAAAACTCACCTGCATATCTAACTCATGACATCTTTGGGCAATTTCTTCTTTTGTTGACAGTGCTTCATTCAATTCTTCTGTAGTTTTCTTCAGCTACCATAAGCAACAAAAATTTTTAGTTTCATAACTCTCTGTAAAGTGAGTAGAAAAATTCTGAACTACATCACTATAAAATTATTTTAACTTAAGGTAACATGTTACATTTTTTGAAGGTAAGGCAAACTTGTTCTTATAAAGGAACAAAGAAGCAGATGTGAACACTATTTAATTTGCACGACAGAAGTAACTTACTTAAGAGAGCATTACAATAATCACATTTAGTCTAGGAATAGCATCTGAAAACCCTAAGGAACTTTTCAACTCTGTACATGAAAAAACTGTCAATACCACTTTTCTTTACGGATACAAAGAGTGGATAATTTCAGTTTTTAAACCTACTTTTTAAAATACACAAAGGGTTGGAAGGTGGAATACAGGCAACAGACAACTAGGGTAAAATCTCTTTAGTCACTTGGAAGCCCGCTTAATAAGAATACAATTAACATGGTGATGAAGAATCCAAATATCTTCTGAAAAAAAGGCACTGAACCTTACAAGCAGTGCAAAATTTTCACATATTCCTCTTTACGAATTTCATTTCCAAAGTTGCATAATCATCTAAGTTTGTACATGAACACTGATAACATGAAAGGCAGCTACAAGAAAACTAGCCTGATTTGTTTATTTATATGAAAATACAGGTATCTATTACTAAAAATGATGCATTTTAGATTAGCTTTCTATTTCTTTTTTTTCCAAACATGAACATCGTATTTTACTTCTTCAAGTTTATTTGTACTGGAACTGAAATTTTCTCTGCAAAATAAGAATATTTGATTTATAAAGCAAGATAATTCAAAATACTGAAGCTTAATTTTCCACTCCTTATGTTAATTTCCCACAAAGGCCTTTCACGATTAGATAAAGACAAGCTTCTTAATAAGTCAAGGCACTGGGCACTGATGCTCTAAGATTGAAAGAGAAAAAAAATCTAATCTTAGATACCTGTCGATCAAGGTCAACGTAAGCATCATCTCCAACAGAGACAGGAGACTCTTTACTCATCAACTGCAATTAGATTACAGTGGATTAGAAAAAGCAAATATTTACTTTTAAGCCAAGCTTTAGTAAAATAATAAGATGATTTTCACTTCTGTGAGCTTCATTCTGACAACTGAAGTTTTCTACTTTGTTTTTATATATGTCATCCAGAAATAATTACTGAAATTCTCAGTAGAATTTAAAGATATATAAAATAAATATTACATCATGTCCTTTTTCCTATATTAAAGCACATTTTCATCTACAGTGTAATCTATGGTGTGCTTTGCATAACACTAGCATGCATCTGCAGAACATTTTCTGAAGTGGCACTGGAATGACTGTAGCTATTAACATATTCTCCGCCAGTGGTTTTCATTTTTTGATCATTTGGAAGCTCATATGAATTTATTTAGTTAACTAAATTTAGGGCTAAGTCTAACTCAACCAATCATGCAAATCAGTGAGAAAGTTCCTGTGTTTTGAAGTTTTACACAATTTGCAATATATAAACTATTTAAAATATATAAAAATTATATAAAATATATTTTAAAAAATTATATATATATATAAATATATAAATATATAATTTCTAAAAATACTATTCTTGAGAACAAGAAATAAAATCGCTTTTATGATGACAAATGGGAGGAGGGAAGTCTTCTAAATTAAGTGATATGTATTAGTGAAAGAAAAAAAACAACCCGATAATAAAGGAAGGTTTCTTTCTAGCCCCTCAAGATCTTTACAAGTAGTTAGAAGTCAATTCAAATGTAACACAAACTATAGCCCTAGGACCTTCTCCCACACAAGTGCAGAAAATATGTTAGGGTTATTATTATTATCACTGAAATTGTGATCAGCTCTCTATGACCTGCATTGTAATTAACAAGGAAGCACTGCAGAAACAAAATTTCTGCAGACACGCATGATATGTTTTACTACTTCTAAGCACCATTCAAAGAAGTCACAAAAGAAAGAAGCCAAATTCAACTGAAATCAGGACAAGAGTCCTTTCCCGCCATATTCTCAGGGCCTCCTGCCCAGCTAGCTGCTCCTGCCAGAGAAAGAGCTTCCTTTATTCCTTTACTCCTGCCAGAAACCCGAGCTTTTGCATTAGTCTCCATTGGCAAAGTTCCTCTGGTACACAGCACAGAGCTTGTGTTTTCTCTGCATCCTTTCTGTTTGTACCACCATGTGCAAGTGCAAATCTCCGTTTGACATTTATGCTACTCAAGTATTTATACACTTACATTTCTCTCCATTTCTCCATCTCCCTACTTGGGATTTAGATGCATGCTATATGTTTAAATTCATCAGATAACCATGACCATGTTTGTTGCTAGTTGCTTAATTCTTTCCCTTTTGTCGATGCATTTACAGTGATAATCTACCCTGACATGAAACTCTCCACAAAATTCAGATTCTCTAGAATTGAAATTAGAAAGTCCCTAGCCTCAGAGTTCTCCTGAAAAATGAAGACACACCTTCTTCAATATCACAGAGGCTCTCTTCTTAGTGATGTAATATATAGTTTAATTACATCATCTATCTAGCAACTGTCTAAATGGCTTTTTAGATGACTAATAGGAATGTCAAGACTAACCAAATGCTCTTTACCTTGTTCCAGATCCAACACCACTGTTCACACATTCCCTCCATATCCCAGACAATGTCAGTACTATACTTTAAGCCTTTAAATTCTTTCCAGCTGGCAGCTGCCAAGCTGTGCACCACTTGTAAGGGACAGTAGTATGCCCCAACATTCAACATGTAATTTCTGACCACAGTGCAACTTCCTTCTCAGAATTTCAGTTTAATGAGCTCTTCCCAGAACAAACACAGGAGCAATGCAATAGCCTGTACAACTTACTAGAGGTTACCCTACTATTTCTGCTTTCTGTAGATTACTGTCAAAGAAGCAAGCTGCAGCCAGTAAACATAATGCCTTTATTCTTCAGTGGGTTTTGCCATTTATCTTATGACTTCCTATACTTGAGAGATATTAGCAGAAAAAAAAAAAATCACAGTATGTCTGAGGTTGGCATGGGTTCCATCTGCTCCAATCCCTGCTCAAGCTGAAGTGCTTTACAGTGAAAAAGAACAGTCTACTTAAGTCCTTGGCAGAGCAATTAATATTTCTTTCTTACCCCCCCTCCCACCTAGTTTAAATGCTATTAAATAATAAAATGCTATTTTTTCCATTTAAGCCCAGTATTTTTTTTTCCCATGAGAAAAAAAAGGATGGCAGATTTTTTTTCAAAACTGTTTTCATACTAAGATCATTTATGAAAACCACCGAAGTATCAAGAGGCATTTATACATAAAAATGAATTACATAATACATAAGTAAAGCATAGAGAAGTCTTTTTAGATACCTAATATAGAAGAAAGAGCAACTGCTTGTCAAGTACTTTGAAATGTTTGGATTTGATAACATATCAACTTTTCAGCTATGCATATATAGCTGCTCTCCCAGGCACCTCACTTTGGTTTCTCCTACACACTGCCTAGTCCAAGTCATTTAGATTATCAAAGCTGTTGTAAAGAAATGGAAAAACTCCTTAAATACAATGAAGTATCACTCCTCCAAAGTCAAAGGCTGCAGAAGCAGCCCTGTAAGGTCTCCTTAGATCTAAACTCTTGTTTTCGAGGATGCTTTCTGACCTCCTTGGTAAAGCACCCTCCTCTGGTAAAGATCCACCTCACTTGCTTCTGAATACCTTACATTCTAACCATCTTATTTTTTGGAAGACAACATTAAAATCACTCAGATCTACACTAGTCCAGAATAGTAAGTTCTGATCTTGATTCAATGGATTTCAAATGTGTTCAAGAGGAACAGATCCTCATGTGATTACTCCCCACTTCTGGTTGCTATATCTAAGAAAGGCCACAAATGCCATACAGGTTCAATTCCTACTCATCAAATGGCAAAACTATTGACTGCTTCAGATCCAGCTATTTTATCACATTAAGTTGATATCCAGGAGATTTTTCAGAGAAGGAGTGAGGATGAAGGAGTATTTTCTATTTTAAGGCAGCGCAGGATGAAGTGATGCTGAAAGCCATGTTTAATGAAAGATGATATGAGAAAATCCACCAAAACGTTACCTCGCAGTTTAGGTGGAAATAAAAAAAAAACAACCTGCAAAATTCAAGCAAACTAGTTGCCTGCTCTTGGCAGCACTGACCAGAAGATGATTTTGCAACAGGATTCTTTTGACAGTATTTCAGAAACACTGTCTGCAATACTATAAATATATCTAGGATTGTGTGCAATATATATAAATATATACACATATATACACACTATATATATGTGAGTTCACAAACAGCCAACTAGAAGACTACAATGACACAGCATTGGTTGAAGTAATAATTGCGGGTGGAGTTCCCTTAGGCCAAGTGAGCATTCTTCCTTTCTTTAAGCAATAAAGAAAAGTCAAATAGCTCAAGAGTTCAATGTGGAATGTAGTTTCTCTCATTCATGCTCAAGATGAAATGTTATTACCAAGATTCCTGCTTCTCTGAGTTGCCTTCCAAGCAGTAAACCTGCATGCACGAAGACTGATAGGCACTTCAGACACACAAGAAGTCATTCAAGAGCTTCATGGCAACAGTGGTCATACTCTGGTTTACTTTACTTCTCTGATTTGCCTAATGCAATTCACCAGTGACAGCTAACTATGAAATCCTTCACCATGTACAGCACCTCTTCAGCTTGATAAGAACCACTGCAGTCTCAGAAACAAAGTTTCCAACAGCACTTTTACAAGATATACAAGTTACAAGACTACAGAACATTTGCCAGAATGTAAAAAGGTGCCTCACAAATACCTCCATTAACCTATCCACCATACTACATCTGACAAAAGAATACTTTGCTAAACACTTATCTTCCTTTTCTTGTCCAGTAAAGAAAACATTAACAGTTCATGGAGTTCTTCAACTACAAGTAGAAATTTTTTAAAAAATTTACAGTACTGGCTTCTCATATAAAATCTAGCGCACTTCAGGAGACATGGGGTAGGAAAAATAAAGGAAAGAGAATCCAGGATCAAAAATATCTAGAAGTTTCAATCTTCTAGATTTAAAGAAAAGTGGGACATTCAAGCAGAGTTCCATGACATAAAGCATACTTCAATAGCTTTTTCATGAAAAATTGAGAAGATATTTTTCAAAGTAAAATGGCAAAATCTGCACTTGTTACATTTACTTAGAACTTTTTTTTTTTGTCTTTTGTTTTTTTGTTTTTTTTTTAATGAAAAAGTATACTTTTCTAATATACTGAAAAGCTGAACTTTTACACACTGTAGAAACTCCAGCATACCTCTTGAATTGCTGCCATGACCATATGTTGAACCGATTCTTCCATCATCATTATGGTCTGTATGTACTCTGAAAAAAAAAAAAAAAAGAGCATTCTGGAATGTTATATACAAAACATGAGGTTGGAAGTTGCATTCCCCCTACAAAATGACTAGATGCCAGAGATTACACTGAAATGCATAAACGCTGTTCAAGTGTTGCCACAAAAAATTAAATAAGATTTTATCAGGAAATCTGATCAGACAAGCCCAGGCTATGCATCAATGAAATAAACTATGTAATTATCATCCACATTATTCCTTCTTGTATTTCACATGATTCAGGCTATAAAAGTACCTAATGTGAAAAGAGACTGTCCTTTTCTGCAGATTAAGATTAGTGTCCTTTCCACATCCTTATTTCAAGTCATTTTCATTTCCATTCTTAGTTTGTGTTTTTATTTGTTATATCACAAATAAAGTCCTCCCACCCCCCCCCCCCCCCCCTTTTTCCTCCCTTCCCTGTAAGTTCACATGAGCTACATGATAAGTACTTCTGCAAGATGTGGCAGTGGCAGTATGACATCTGATGTTTAGACCAAGTCAAGAGATTTATGACTTGCCCAGTATGATACTGCTTCAAATCAGACATGATTGAGGAGCCCTGGAATGTATCCAGGGAAGGGCAACAAAACTGGTGAGGGGTCTGGAGCACCAGTCTTATGTGGAGTGGCTGAGGGAGCTGGGATTGACCTCTTCTCCCAGGCAACAAACAGGACCCGAGAAAATGGCAGCAAATTGTAACAGAGGAGATTTAGATTAGACATAAGGGAAAATCTTTTCGTCTCAGAGAGTGGTCAGGCACTGGAATGGCTGTCGGGGAGGTGGTGGAGTCACCGTCCCTGGCAGTGCTCAAGAGGCGTCTGGATGAGGAGCTGCGAGATAGGGCTTAGTGCTTGTGGTAGCAGCGGTAATGAGAAGACACTTGGACTAGATGATCTTGTAGGTTGTTTCCAACCTTGTGATTCTATGATTCTATGATGATCTACACACAATGCATTCTTCAATTCAATTCTTTTTCTTCAAAAGCATTCTCTAATGATCTGCTGAAGTGGGAGATACTGGCGATAAGTATCTCAAGGTGATCGATTACATAATGCCAAACCTCATACAAAATACATATAACTAGACTGCTCAGATATTTTTTATACTATGTTTCTAATGTTCAGACTGACAGAGCAAAAGAATTCAGTAATAAAACATCTCACTCAAGTGTGCCAGATAATCACTAAAAGGAAGAAAGAGAATCCTACATAAGACAGAGAGGACAGGCAGCCTAATACAACAGAGTTATTTATGTATTTGTTGAAGAAAATTAATCTACTTTAATTAATAAGAAAGCCAGATTGTCTCTTCATCAAAAGAACAATAAAAACAATTTCAGATTAGAGCGTAAAGTGATTTAGACACCTCAGAAAACTGAAACAGATAAATCAGTTCAGAAAGCTAAGATGCACCACCATACAAAAAGACAAAAGGGTCTGAAAGCCCACCTGCCATTTTGGCAGAAAGGAAACTGCAATGGCTTAAATCACAAAGAGGCAAATTTTTCTGCAACTTTGATGTAAATACTTAAACATAATTTTATTTATCCACCTATTTTATACACGTTTCCATGCTTCTCATTTTAAATGTTAGGAATAAACTGCAGTTTTTTGTTATCTTACACTGGCTTAAATTAAGTGCAATTTAGGGTAGTTAGACAACAAATACATAATGCACCAAAGCACATGGCAAGTTTAGAGCAAGAAACTTGAGTCAAGAACTGCTGCCTGCACAGTCCACCACATCCTCTGCAGCACCTGCAGTAAAGTGAATGGGTTCCCATTTTAACTGTGCAGGTGAGATAGACAGCTGGTAACATAAGAGACAAGAGAATCAAAATTGTCTTTCAGAGATGGACCAAGAATTTGCGGTTCTTGGCTCAACAAATCAAACTTGAAAATGTGTATGTGGTCCACAGTTTGAGAATGCAAAGCCAGCGAAACTCAGAACAGAGGTTATCTGAAAGACAAAATAACGTTATCTTTGACAATATTAATTTGTCTCTAATGGCAGCCTAAGGAACATCATTTTCCCCTAAGTGATTACACAATGAGCTGGTTTTTCACTCAGTGTCTGGAAGCAAACATTTTCAAACCTTAGTACCTTGCTTCTGTTCACAATTCACAGCGCATCCCAGAATAAGCTGAAGCATTCTTCCAAGCTCTGCAGCATCAGCATGCTCTCCAATTAAGTTAACATCAGGAAGGGTGAAGTCATTTATCTGTTGCCCTAGAATCTGTATAAAGACCCAGTACACGTCTGTATCAATAGACATACATACGCATAAACTTTAACATACAAAGATGATTCAGAATCAACAGGAAGTGCTCACTTTTCACTTCAGTGTAGTCTTCAATCTACCCTTAAAACAAACTACATTGAGTAATGCCAGCTTATATAACAGATCTTTGAGTATTAAACCATCTGTAATCTTTGGTACTACCAATATTTGGCAGAACACAAACCTGTGCCAACTAATATTAAACTACTCATTATAAACTTTGTAAGATTTGTTTATTCTGGATAAGAAAGTAACAAAAGCAATCTCAAACGATGATCCACCATTACATTTAGCTTTTTAGCTAGCATGAAACGCTTCACACTAGTCTCATATTTCATCCCACTGGAAAGCTGAAATTAAAACGTTTCACTTATGCAAAATGTATCTAGCAGTGATGGATGACAAATATGAGACTATAAAACACTTGATCACTCAGTCCCACGCTTCCAGTAAATTCAACCATATTTAGCAAGTCCTAGAGCTGAAAAAGCTGGTCTAATGGGAAAGAATTTGAGGTAGCAGTATAACATATAATTAAACAACCCACACACAGAAATACAAAAAAACCCATCCTGAAAAACATAAGAAAGAAAACATGTGACTTATAATTAATGTAATTTGATTTATAATTAAGAAGGATTTACATTAATGATTGTCAGTAGAAGGAATTAAATAATTCTGCTGGATTTCAAAGAGCTTTCAGGGAGCTGAAAATATGAATATGAAATGTGGAATCAAATGTATCTCTGACACATTAATTGCAGATAAAAAGAAACTGTCATTTCTTAAGCAGAGAGAAATAAAGAAACAATGGAGGGGATCAGTCTCTTGTTTGCTGAATACTCGTTCAGACTTTAACACTCAAGGAAAAAGAAAAAACAAAAAACAACAGAAAAGCAGGTACAGGTATGTATTTAAAAAAAAAATCCTAATACATTTATATGAAGAATACAAAGAAATCAAGCCACTAAGAAGTTTGCCAGGGCTATGCCTTATACATTTGCTGTGACTATGTTTGTTCTTGTTTTGTTTGTTTTTTTCTGGTCTTCTTTTTAATTTTTCTTATTGATTTTTTAAAAATTATTATTCTTAACAGCTTTGTCAAAGCATGAGCACCAGCACAACTAAAAGCTCTGCATACTGGAAAGAATGCATGAATTATATCCAAATACTTTCTTTAGGTCATTCTAGTGAGAACACAAGAATTCTATGAACACATCAAACACAAAAATATTACCACTGTATTTAGACTGCAATAACATAGTAAAACACAATATTATTTGAATGATTTAAGTCTGGTATGTGTTTACGTGTTCATACGTATTTCCTGAATTTCTTTCAAATGCAGTGCCAAATTTAACAATAATATAACTGCTTTATGCTTAATGACAATATAATTGCTGTTGAGAAATGGTGCAGGGACAAAGCATATCAGCAAAAACCATAACAAAGCATGGGAACTGAGCATAAAAATAGAGAATTCTGCAATAAACATGAGATAAATTATACAGCAATAACAATGAAATAACAACCAAATCTCAAATAAATATCTTAAGAGGGGAAAATGCTCCTTCCTCCACTTACTCAAAAAAAAGTATGAAAGACTTCTACAAAGAGAATGAAAGTTTCCATATGAGAGCAGTAGAGCCCTGCAGCAAAATTACTGGGGCACCACAAAGCATGCAAGTCATAAACAAGTACCTTTGGCTTCTTGCTCTTCCATGCCATATGTGACAAAGACAGCAATGCATGATTGCTATAGAAAGACTGCCCTGCTTGCTGTGGTATTATTTTTTTTTATTTATTCTAAAAATGTACATATTGTGTTTTCAAATCTTTTCACTACATCAGGCAAAATTCATATATATTCACATTCACATGTACGCTGTGGAGAAGGTGCCTGATAGGAGGAGGAAATCAGGTTAATGAAAATATAAAGGATTTGTTGTAAAATCCAGATTGTGTCCACTGTCACTACTAACATTGCATCAGGAGAAGAAAAGCAAACAAAAAATCTAGTCAAACCTACTTTAAGAACTTAATCTAAATCAGGTCAAAAGTTAGTGACCTATTGAAGCAATAAAGTTTTCAAGAACTTAATCATCCTGTCTTCCCATCACCCAAAAAGAAACTGACATCACTTTGACACAGTAATATTAAGTTTCTGTAACAAAGAACTTCTTTCTTTCCTCCTAAAATGATCTGCTGTGAGGACTTTGCTTTCTGAGATCTGCACTGTCTGGCATGGACCCATGCTGTAGCAGATTTTGAAGAAAAGTGGCTCACAAGAGACCACATGGTGTGAGAGGCATACCAGGCTGAAGCAGATGAAAAGCATGAGGAGGAAGAGGCATGTGAGAGGGCAGAGCATCATGGACTGACCACAACTCCACTTCCTGTGCCTCTATGCGGGTTAGGGCAGGGGAACATACAACTGAGATGGAAGTAGAGCCTAGGAAGCCAGGAGACAGGAGGAAAATGCTTTTGGTTTCCTCTTCATTCTCACTGCTCTACATCGTTATTAATTGGTAATAAATCACATTAATTTTAGCCAAGCTGAGCCTGTTTGACTGTGATGGTAATTGCTGAGCGATTTCCTTCTCCTTATCTCAAACTATTAGCTTTTTTCATGGTATTTTCTCCCCTTGCTCTTCTGGGCAGGGGGAGTAATAAGAGCAGCTTGGTGGGCACCTCGCAGCCAGCCAAGGTCAGCTTATCACACAACCAATTTTTCATAATTAATTTAGAGCCTGAATATGAACTTATCAGCCTAAGTTCTCTCTCTCAAAATCTGTTAATTTTTAAAGACTTAGTTTTTTAACTAATACCTTCCTTACCAAAGTATTCACAAGTAGCTAACAGTGGGTTTTTCCTTATTTTTGGATGTATAAATTAAGGATTTTACATAGTCGTCTGTATCTGTACTGAACAATTTGCTTCAAAATATCACTGAAGCAAAAAGTAAAATTTAACTGAAGATTCACCACTGAAAAATATTTTATTGTTTCTTCTCTGGAGCAATTCATTCTGATTTTGCTAACAGAGAACACAATGGGCTGACTCCACTATCTCAGGATTAAGATATTTCATTAACAACTGTAATGCAAGCTGATGCTAGAAATGTTTTTTCCTTTCTCTCCTCAAGGAAAAAAAAAAAAAAAGCAAGAGGTAGTCTCTAACTGTAACAGAGGTAATATCAGAACTACTTTTTAAGACCAGCATTGGAAGAGTCAAAGACATCTACTGTTTTATGACAAGACTTCCAAGTAAGATTGCTCTGAAAGCTCTTAAAGTGACAAATAAAGCAGGCTTACACCTCAGGAGAGGCAATGACACATAATGTACATCAAACATGTTGAAAGATAAAGTCAGAACTCAATGCATCCATAATATAGTTTACATTAACCAAACATGTAACAGAAATAACACAAAAATTACACTGAACTGTTCTTACCTCATGGTTGTAATCCAATATCCCTTTTAAAATTTTCTTCAGGTTGCTTACCTATTTGTCAAGAAGAAGAGAATGTAGTAAGTGCAAACAATAAATCACAGAGACAGAATCATAAAAGAGGCAATCACAGAACAATCATGCAAAAGAATTGTACAATCATCTCTTTGCATTATAAAATTCTGTTTAAACATCTTCAGATAGAATTAAGGAAATTACACAGTATTCCCTTGTGATCAGATTGCCATCTGATCACAAATCTTTATGAATATATAGAACATATTTAAGTTTATGAAAAGTAACAGTCTTAGACAGTCTTTAGATTAGATTCTGAAGCATGAATCTTCCTTTGAATACTTGATTGTCTTAGTATACTTTTGTTTTTGTGTAAATTGAAAAAAATTCTCTTTCTTTTCTTAAAGTACTCCTGTACTGCAGAGGTAAACCTCTCCTTCCAAACCAGTATCAGTTACTGCTCAATACCATCCTTTGTTTAAAACATACGTAAGCCTAATTTATTAGTGTTCTCATTAATTATTCCTCCCAGTTCTTTAATTCGTGTTTGTTTCTCCTTTTAAAGCAGTTCCTAACAATCAAATGTCTGCCTTACACTACAAAGGCAAAATTTACACTTCTCAGCTATGCCTCCAGTGTCACACAAAGATAGCTTCTGTTCCATCTGCAAAACCAAAGGCATCAGTTACATATCTCTTGCTGTACAGAATCTACGCTACAATTCTTCATTATTGAAGTCTTTCAGCCCTCTTTTTGGCAAAAACTCAGATCAAGTACTGTAGATTGTGAAGAAAGCCATAAAAATTGACAATTGATCTCATAGGTGATGTTTAAAAAATATATATATGTTTGAAGTAATTTGCATAGATTCCAAGAATGTCCAACTATATAAACTTAGATAACAGAAGCAGTGCATTATTTCCTGTGATAGGAAGTCTACAAACAGGTTCTGTAAAGACTGAGCGGAAATGAGAGGGTGGCTAGAGAACTGAATAATCACATCCCAATTCTATTCATCTTATCTTAGACATGAGTAGCATAAGAATTAGGATTCACAAACTCCTCTTGCTGACAACAGTACCCACAGTGCTGAACTGTGAGACTGTAACGGAGGAAGAAAAATGAAAACATATCAAACCTCAACTGCAATTACTTTTATATTCTTGAATATAGTCTGAAATATCCAATAAAGAACTTTTGTCACTGGATTCTATCTTCCAAAAGATCTGAGAAAACACTATGGAACACAGTTTGGAGACACGATACTGAAATCCAGGGAATGTATTTCCTATGGAAAGCTTGAGAATGAATAGGCTACACATGATAACACAAAACATCTATTAGCACCAAAGAAATCATCGTCATATCTCCAGAGCTATGAACAATTACAGCTAAAGACTACAAGAGATTTAAGATTTTAAAGAAATACAAATTATTTAATTTTTATGTCAAATCACCACATTGAATACGGCACCGATTGGAATAATAATTTTCAAACTTGATTCATTAATATCTTCCAGTTTGTAGTTTACCTGAGTCTGCTGCAGAAAGTGCCAGAGAAACCCAAGGGCCATGTTGTAGAATTTAAGTCCAGTTTACCGAAGAGAACACTGTGAGGAACCTTGAACTTGAACATAATCCCAGAAATGAGAAACAAAATGGAATGCCCTACCCTAGAAAATACTTGCTTTCCCCTTTTCCAGTGAGCTTTGTTTGAATTAATACTTTTAAGACATTTTATCTTCCTCCATATTACTTTCATAGAGTTTAATTCTGTGATGATGTAACAAAATCAGTATTGATCAAAATCTGTCATGAATACTACTGTATATGACAGCATCTTCAGAAAAAGAAAACAAAATGAAAAAAATGTTGTGTTTGAAGTCCTAGTCTATTCCACTGTCAATTAAGAGTATCAAGATAATTTGCTTTCAGGAGTTAACTACATCATCTTTGTACCAGGCAGACAATCAGACAATTATAAAGCTAAAGGAGCTTCTTTATAGACTGGCTTGAACTTAACAATAATCTTCAGTACTGCTAGGGGAATTCTCTCATTTGATTTCATTTTACTTGTCTGCAGTGAATACGCTTAGATGGTCCTACTGCCAGAGGCAGAGAATCAACAGCAAACCATCACAAACGCCTTCTGTTTTGAGATTCAACTCCAACAATCTTTTAACACTTGCCAGACCATAGCATAACCTCTAAGAAAGACTTCAAACAGAGATGAGTGAAAATGAGCAACAGAGTAATAGAGAAAAGCAAAGGAAAGCATTAGAGATTATTAATTCTAGAATTCTAGAAAGTGATGGTTTTTAAGTTTTTCTTCTTTCCTCTTTTTTTCTTAAGGACAAAGAAGAATAACTACAACTCGTTAACAAAGACTATTAAGACTATTAAATCATACATATTAAATCATAAGGTTGTGAAGTGGGTAAAGGTGGAAATGGTTTTCTTCTCACCTGTCACATGAAATTATTATTTTTACTGATCTCCAAATTCCAAATTGAAGGTTTGTAAGGATAATATGCCTAGATTTCTCTCCTTAGGAATATAGCTGACCAGCACAAGAAAAGCCTAATGTAATGGACAGTGGAAATGCTGTTCAGCTTGCGATTACTGACAGAAAGTAGTCAGGGGTTATTTAACCTCCTGTTTACTCTCTAGTATTTTGACAGCTTGTATTTATCCTTCTTTCATTCATATGCCTGAAATTCTGTTTGTAATGAAGACTCCATGTAAATTAATTTATCCTTGTACATTTCTGTTCAAAGTGTCTAAATGGGAACCCCAGTGTTCTGAGATGCTGTTCTACAGTATCTCTCCTGGATAATTATGCACAGAGGAATTTCCCCTCACATAGCTTATAATCAACAACCTTATAACCTCTGGAAGTGTTACTAGGGCAGACCTACAGTGACAAGAGAATTCTTAATCACTCAGCTACAGAAATGTGACTAAACTCCCTGGCTGCATATAAAAAAAAAGCGTATGCATAGATTCCACCACATTAAGTTTCTGCCTTAAACCGCATTCTGTCTCTTCTCTAAGTGGGGCCCAGAGAGTGACTGTGCAATTAGCTTCGTGGATTATCCTGCTCCTGCCTGTTTCGTGAGAAAAGAAATCACGAGAACAGATACAAGAACATCCTTGAGTTAAGGGAGGGAGAGAAAAAAAACCAACAACCCAAAAAGAACAGAGAAAAACGTATCTGTTGCTTATTATCTTTTTCACAGAAATAAAAGCTGTCTTTTGTAAGTATGTCTGTAATCCCCACTCTTTTCATGCAGAAGGACATCTGTATGACAGACATGACAGCACATTCTATCTTTATCAGAAAAAAAAAAATAGAAACAACAAAAAACTCAAAAGGCTGCTCATGAAGAAGTATTCTGTTTCTTACAGAGAAGATGAAAGTATCAGGACAATTGTACACAGAAAACTAGCTTCCACAACTATACCAGTTGTCCTAGCTTGTATTATGGAATAATTCAATACAACCATAATTCTACTACTGCAGGGAGTCAAAGATACACCTTGTAGATCAGGTTAGTTGGATCACAGCACTAAAAACTCAGCACTCGAATTTCACTTACAATTCTATTTTGCAATGTTCTATTGAATACAAGGCATTCAAACTGCACTCACTGCAGAAAACCTAGCAAATCATTTGAACGTGCTATTCAGAAGTCAAACAAATTCAGCTTACTGCTGGAAATATGGATAAAATTGTATTTTAAACTGATGCTGCAGTCTGAATGCTTAAAGCAAAAGTCTGGAAGACAAAGTCAGAGACCATGCACAACAAAGTATTTCCTGCTTACTCCAAGGCAGGCACAGCCTACAGGGAATGGAAAAGGGGTGGTTTTCCTACAATTCAGTCAAATAATATATTCAGTAATTACCAAAAAAGAAGAAAAAATAAAAAAATAACTGACACATGTATGAAACAGTTGCTGGTTAAAATTTCTGTTCTGTTACTGATATTTCTGTACTATTTGACACAGAACCATTCTTGGTTCTTCATTCCTGTAAAAAATTTTTTGCAACAGATTTATTTTCTACGCCATTTTGTAATTTCAGTTAACACTGTTTTGTCTTGAAAATATTATCCTCTTCAGTATAAAATACTAATCTGTACACAGTTTCAACTCCAGGCATACTAAAGCATTCAGCTTTTCGTGATACATATCAGGAAAGATATATGTATTTTATATATATATCATACTTTTTTGTTTTCTTAACCAATACATAAAACTGCAGTTAGACCAGGAGGGGTTTTTGTTACACAAAAGAAACAACAAACTGCAGAACTAAACTGATGCATGCTGTGCCCCAGAAATTTTAACCCCAAATACTGGACAAGGTGCTTCTGTATGAATACACTAGATAGAGAGATCCAGTCAGCTATAACATACAGAATGCTAGCTGACTGCTTCCTACTCTGCAAGCCCCCAGAGTTCTAACATTTTGCACAGACGGACATCCATCTGAGAGTTAGACACTACATAATTTCCTTAATGCCTCTATTCAAGTGGATAGGAGCGCCTTATGCAGGATGATACAGCCCACCTTATCACTGTTCTATGATGTAGAATTACACACACATTTTGTTTTAAGCCTATTTCCTCTACTAGACTGGCTCCTTTATAAGTTTCATAATACTGAGAACATAATACTATTGACTATTATACCATGCAGCTTTGCAACAACCATGCTTAGTAGTAAGAATATACCTTGTCTCATTATCCCCTCTTGTGAGGTACAGAGTTAACCCAATAAACATTTTTCATGTGCTTCTTAAAATATTAAGAAAAGTTACATTAAGGAGGCACACAAAAACACGATGCCTACATTTAAGAACTAGTGACAAACCAACAAAGTTTACAGATTAAAAAAGCTCCTGCGAGCAAGGCTACGAGTCACAGACACATGGACAACTGAAGAACTCAACTACTGTTTACATACACATAGAGAAGAACAGATGACAAAGTATGGCATTACTTTTACATTTAAAAACTGGGAGTTAGAACAATACTCATTTAATATTGTACATAATATGAATATGAAAAAACCGTGCAAAAAGCTGTAGTATACTCTCATTTGAATCAAGAAGCATAATCAGTCTTAAATTCTTATTTACATGGAAATATGAATGACAAGAAGGAATGATATCAGCAATGAACTGAAATTTGAGATATGTTCACACAGATTTCAGTCACACAATGAAGACGGATTGAATGATTGCCTGGTCTTTCTGTTATATTCACACCTGCTAAGATTTAGAACCTGCTACATTTGTAGATGATTAAGAAAAAAACCTTCCTCAAGTTCCCTCAAAGAGTTACAAAAACTGCACTATTTAAATCTGAATCAACTGAAATGTTGTTTTTCTCCAAACTTCACAGCCAAAATTTTAATATTCCTTAGAAAAAAGCCACAAAATGATGTTAGGGAAAAGTTAAACCTTGTTATCAGATGTTTACTTGCAGTTCCACACACTTCGTTGAAAAGCTAACTTAAATTAATTGTTGTAATAAGCACAGAATAAATACAGCTGCTTTTCTTGCCCCCTTTTTTTTTTATTTTTAAGGAACCATGTATTTTACTCTATCAGTCTACTACCACTGTATCCCTATCAATGTTCCATATCTTTGCTGGCAACCCTGTTAGACAAATCACTCAAGAGCCCAGACATGCAAATTACTGGCCAGGCAGAAGGATCCGAACTGACAAGTTTACTGATAACACACATGCAGCAATACTCTCCATCCCTTCCTCAGGTAGATCTTGCCTGTGCCTCTCCCCTCTGCTCAGCCCAAGTGTTGATAAGCCTGTAAGAAGTACAGCATTTCATAGGTGCAGCCCTTTCCTCTTGAGAGGAAAAAAAAAAAAAAAAAAAAAAGTGTTTATGGCAAACTCCATCTAACAGGAAAAAAAAAATCAGAAATAAATCAGGCTAGAAATGGCGACTGAGAAAGGTACATGTATTATCCCATGGACAAAACTAGCCATGGACTAATATCCACACATAAAGCTATGTTTATCAGGTTTTATACCAAACACTCCAAAGCTTCACCATGTAAATTCTGTTGAGTGTAACAGAAAGTACTCCAATACCAAGTAACGCAAATGACCTAGCAAATAGGCTGTTGTTAGGAAGCACACTGACTACAAACACACACACAAGTATCAGCTCCTCTCCTGAAACTCAGCTGCTGCGCAAAGCTGGCAAAGTAAAATGAAATAACATTTTCCCATTTTTATTAAAATCAATTGGTTACTGGTCTGCTATTTTCTGCAGTTGTTTCTCAGAGCTTTTTTTTTTATTTAAAGAAAAGTTACTTTCACATGTAATAGTAAAAAAAAAACTTTCATATTTCTGTGTTTTTCAAATGTTAATTTAAGCATTAAGTTTATTTTAATATTTTTTTTTACATTACTGAAACAAACTTACAAAATGCTTTCTTCACTCAACTGTGCAAAGCTACATCAGTGTAAAAAATAAGTACAACAAAATACATCCTAAATTCAACAAACGATGAAGCAACATATAAAAACAAATGCTTTTATTAAAACACAATATTATATTAAGAACTAAAATACAGATACGAGAAGCAAAATAAGTAAAATACCTTTAACCTCCAATTATCTCCTACTTCTGTTTTGATCCTATTTAACCAGTTTTCATCGAAGTACACTGGATCTCTGAAATACAAAAAGTAGAGTATTTGTTAAAAACAGGTTCCAGAAACTAGGAAGATACCTTAGCAATTAAGCTCCTATCTCACACTGAGGTTACTTAAATGCCTGCCTACTCTGCATTCTATATATGGCCTATACAGAGACCACCCCTACTGCTCTGCAGCACAGCTCCATCTGTGTGCCATGAGTAGGTCATGCTTTGGAAGAAGCTGCTGGACTTCAAGTGTATTTCATCAGTTCTCCCTGACTGTAAGTTCTTCCTCTTATTTCTCAGCAGCACTGGAGTAGTGCTTGTTTGCACTGCTTCGAAGCGTACAAAAATATTTAGTGTCTCATATACTACAGATTCCTACAGCTGTATTCTGATTGTAAATACTCTTCTTGTAAATGGAAAGCCTGAGAATGAACAATGTATGCTCTATGCATACACTGAACAATTTAAAAGTACCTCTAGAGTTAAGTCTTTTCTATCAAGAACACACTTCTCTATTATTTAACATTATCAGTTTAATACTATCAGTTTTTGCAAATCTCTTTCCACAATAAACCTTGGCTAATAGTTTTGTGAATGACTTTTTTTAAAAAAAAATAAAAATAAATCAGTTTTTCTACTGTCTGCTCTCTTAACAATGCAATCAAGATACAGACAGAGACAAGAAGAACGCCACTGCTCCTAACATATATTTTTATTTCCATAAATTTCCTTCCTTCCCTACAGGCACTTCCGCTTAGCTGTTTGGTCAAGGCAATTCATAGGAGTATCCTGCCCCTAGTAAGGAAAGACCCATATTTCAGACAAAAAAATGAAGCAGTCAGGGAAGAAAACCTTTTTTTTTTTTTTTGTAAGGCTTCTAAGAGTCAGCATGGTAAGCAGGGTTAGAGTCTCACAGCAAGTATTCTGATTTCTGGAATTACAGTGCTGCATTTGCTGCAAAGTACTATTAGATTTACAGCTGTATCCTCCGAAGATGAAAAGGTTCTACGTTGAACCCTTCCTTTTTTATTTTTTCTTTTTAGGGGCAAGACGGCATGAGACAAAAGCTCAAAAAAACCCAGCAAGCCTGGAGATTCAAGCAACATCTCTGCAATCATATATGCAGCAGATCAGCAACTATCTGAGTGATTGTATTAGGGCCCAATCTTTGAAGAAGAATCTTGCTCCTGATTCATCCCCTCTTCAGTATTCCATTTTCTGCACAATGTCTTCTTCGCAATGTACCAAGGTCTTCAAGTATTCCATCAACATACTCCAGTGGAGAGAAATCATAAACAGGAACATTTCTCTACTGACACATTTCAACTGATTTTTACATTCTTTTACAGACTCTGGTGAAGATCATGCCATCTGTCTTTTATATCTGCAAATATATAGCTGGAAGAAAGGAATTACTAGTTAAATCAATGACTCCAAATTGCTCCTATTCAAAAACAGTATACTTCAGCACAGACAACAAAACCTAAAAGTACTGTCATGGTTCTATGTTTTTTTTGTTTTTGTTTTTGTTTTGGGGTTTCAGTATTCCACACCAAAACATCATGTAGTGTACGGGGCATTAAAGTGTCACTGCCCCAATCCCAGTACCTATCCCTGTACATTACAGCAGTCACGGGATCTGGCCCTTCCGGGTGGGGGGGTCGCTCTCTTGCTGCCTTGCAGTGGGTGCTGGAGGTGCTTTCCTAGACGTTCCAAGCTGTTCAGGTTTGAATAGATCCCGGGAACTCTCTCTCTCTCTTTCATCTTGTCTGATTTATTAATCTCAATTTCAATTAAATTGTATATATATTGTGTTATCTTGTATTCCAATATTATAGTAAAATAAGTTTTCCTCCATAGATTGTTGCCGCTGCTCTTTTCCTCCCTTCCTTCCTTCCCATTTTTTGTGGGACTGGGGTAGGGAGGGAAGGGCAGAGACCTGTCGCCCCTGTCACGGACATAGATTGATCTGGTCAACTCCGTGACAAGTACAAAACAGAAAAAACAATGTCTTAGCCAGAGTTTCATCTGTTTTGAAGTAGACATTTTCCAAATAGCTTTTGAATGGCCTCTGTGTCCTCAAAGACCAATAAGTCTAAGCATAAAATTAATTTAAGACATACTGGATCAACCAGAGATGAGAAAAGTTCATGCTCATGTTTTACATTAAATAAACATATCACTTTGCAAAATGTCTTTATTTCTTTAACTTTCTAATTACAAAAAGATCATTTGGAAAACAGCCTGTGAGCTGAAAACACACAGACCTATCTGAACTGCTTCGACTGGAACCCTGGTGTTCAAAAAGGACTCTATTGTATTTTGGATTAGTACTCTGCCAATCACAAGCAGGCTGTGCTCAGAGATCCACAACTAACAAATGTTTGCCCAGCTCACTAAGAAAGCAGGTACCTGTGCCTCATCAGCAAAAAAAAAAAAAAAAAAAAAAAAAAAAAAAAAAGAGACCACTGGGTCCTTCTTAAGGACTATATCTTATTATTTTATTAATTATAGTTGGTAACAAATTTCAGCTGCTTCAACATCACAGTGCCATTAATACAGCAAATTCTTCATTTACCATTTTAACTGTAAATAATTACTCCTATAAGCATAAAGAATTGTCTGCAAGCAGAATCCTACTGAGTGACTAGGGTAATGTTACATACCCTATCTTCAATAATAAAGACATAACAGAGGAAGAACCACAATATTTCATGATCACCTCCAGCTCTGGATGTCTGCATATCAATAGCAAATGAAAAAATGTTGTCAGTTACTACTGCAATTAAAGTAACACATGCAAATGTGTTTACTTTCTTAATGAAGCTTTTTGCTGCCTACACTCTTATAGCATAAGGCAAACTTGAAGAAGATGCCTGGCAATTACATCTAAAGTAAGTGTGGTAGCTGTTTTCCACAGATGTCTTTGGTTTTTAATTTTAATGTATACAAATCTCATGGAGAACCCAAAGTCCAGAACTTGGTAAGCAATCCACTCTAAATCACAACAGCAGTAAAAACAGTGTCACCAGTTCCCTTCAGGAGCATTTTAATCCGTGTTACACAATAATCAGATGCATACTACAAGAACATTTTGCCAGGCTGGCATCAACAATCAAGCAAATTTAGAATGATCACCCCTTTCCTCATGCATGCATCACCTCAGAATTATTCCACATGTGTTTTTATAATTTTAGTTCTGCCCTCAGAATTCCTGTTAAGATTCAGAATCAACATTAACAACAGCACTTTTCTCCATATTGAACGAATAAAATTAACTGTCTGTAACCAAAAGTTTTCCATTAAAATTTCTAGAAATAATTTTTTATAAAAGGGTTTCCAGACACTCTTCCCAAAGCTTTGCTAGCTCATTCACTACTTATGTTGCAAAGAAGTCTCCCTCTGCTGAAACTTCAGTAATCATGAGTCAACCATACTGAGAGCTCTTGGTCTCCCTTTGTCACATCATAAGGAAAGATGCTGTTATTTCTTATAGCAGATGTTTGATGTTTGAAAAACATCACCCAAGCAAATACAGAAATTTATAGCAGAGAACTGAGCAGCCAAGATAAGAAAGTCCACCAGTTCTGTGCGAAGATATATGCACTAAACAAGGAAGCAGACACTGGAGCACCACTGTTACTTTGAGATTATGTGCTTGTACTCAGCACTTTGAACAGAGAAGGTTCTTGAACCTATACCCAAAGTTAGGGAATCTACTGCACTAGATCACTTACCAAATTCATAAAAACATTTGTATATCAATTGATTGCTGCATAGCCTCTCAGTAGCACTGCAGGTAATTGGGACTTTCCTTTATAGCAGAAGATACTTATGCTGTTCATGTGATACCACTTGTAGCAGTGCTCTACCACATCCAACTTATTTTGTATGCAAATTTTCCTTTATTTAAGCAACCATCTCTCCAAATCATAGATGCCAAGAGACAGAATTCTTTGAAAGAAAAGAAAACCAGCCCACTGAGCATAACACCTGATTATTACTCACTTTAACAGTGGAACAGCAAGCTGCTTTAAGAAATATCTGTTTATTAAAAAGATCCCTCAAGAAAGAACACTTAAAAGCATGGCTTTTGTATTTCACATGTGTCAGAACATACACAGTATGCTGCAATCTGTAATATCACAAATGAATATTTCAGTAAGAGGGGCACAACACACAGGCTACAATCAAAATACTAAAAGAAGAGGAACACTAAACAGTTTCCAGAATGGGATAAAAGGAAAATTTTGCTATTCTGGGGATATCAGCAGACAATAGGAAACTGATAAATTCTTCTCCATTAGCACTGGAGAATTACTTTCATTCACACTCCAACATGAAATTCAAACATAAAGGTTTTATGATAAAAACAGAGAAGTTGTCTTTCACTGTTTTCACCAGGACCTGTTTATTAATGTCAGAATCTGTAAGTAAAACACTCATGCTTGCTTACATAAATCACAGTTCTGCCATATGAACTTACATAGTATGCTTTTAAATAGCTTCTGAAGGTGCTTCTTCCTCATGCAGCCTCTTAGAGAAATTTCCTGCAGAAAATCCTGCTATAGGAACTGACATTTCTGCAGAATGGTCTCTACTTACAAACACAAGCTACTACCTCAGTAAAAGTACTGAGGAAAAACATACATCAAGCCCCCTTATCAACTGCTGATACAAGGCATGGTTTGTTATTTTTTTTATTCTCCGAAACATCCTCAACATAAAGTAGTGTCAACTTCAACTTGTTTCAACTATTGCCTGTCCTCATAAGTATCAGTGGACACTCTTTCCATGAAAGCGCAGGTTAAAAACAACAACAACAACAATAGAGAGTTCAGACACTCAAATCCTGAAGTTTTCAAGTAAATCTTAAAAATTTCAAGAACAAAGCTATCCTTACTCTCCTATGGAAGTATACCAGACAACCAGATAAGGCCAGCATCTTTTAGTTTTCATTAGAACTCTGCCTCATTCAATTTGAGTTCTTCAGTGACTGCATTTGCTTACTAAGTGCTGGGTCCTGCACTTTGGCAATAACCCCAGACAATGCTATGAGCTTGTGGCAGATGGCTGGAAGACTGTGTAGAGCAAACAGACCTGGCAGTATTGGTCAATGCTTGGCTGAACATGAGTGCTCCAGCAGTGTGCTTGGGTGGTCAAGAATGCTGACAGCATCCTGGTTTGCACCAGAAATAGTGTTGCCAGTAGGAGAATGGAAGTGATCAGCCCCTGGTGAGGGCATACTTTGAATACTGTGTTTAATTTTGGGCCCCTCACTACAAGAAAGACATTGAGGTGCTGGAATGTGTTCAGAGAAGGGCCGTGAAGCTGTGAGAGGTCTGGAGTACAAGCCTTATGAGAAGAAGTTGAGGGAGCTGGGATTGTTCAGTTTGGAGGAGGCTGGGGAGACGTTACTGCCCTCTATAACTGCCTGAAGGGAGGCTGTGGCGAGGTAGGAATCAGCCTCTTCTTCCATGTATCTTGCAATAGGACAAGAGGGAATGGCCTAAAGTTGTGCCAGGGGAGATTCAGGCTGGATGCTAAGAAAAACTTCTCAGAAAGAGTGGTCGTGCCTGGAAATGTTCAAAAAACATTTAGATTTTGTACTGAGGGACATGGCTTAGTAGGAAATATTAGTAATAGATGGACAGTTGGGCTAGAGCTCTTTTCCAACCTTGGTGATCCTATGATTCTCTGATTCACTCACAGATAACTCTGAGGAAGAACTATTTTTTAAAGATTAATTAACTTTTATAGATGCAGTTAAAATTGTTACAATTCTCCCTATTTCCCTTTATTTTTATGCATTATGGAGAATCCAAAATAAGGGACAGCCATGCTGAAGGATAACCAAATTTCAAGGAACGCACTTTTTAAGAATAGTAGTCTACAATTCTCAATGGAGTAAGAATGACAGGGTTTAGGAGAGTTTGTGTCTCATTATCTAGACAATAAATTTGTCTTTTCACAATTATCTTGATGGGGGATTTTCATTTTGAAGGTTTTCAAGTGTTCACTGAAATGACATCTGTTTCCAATGACGTAGCCCAACTTCAGTGCAAGATTTCTCCAAATGAGCTCCGTGAACCGACTGTCTTGCTCTTATTTCTACACCTGCAAAACTTTTCTTCCATGTAGTAATTTTTCTTGCGACAGAGAGGGAAGCAGTACTGGTAATACAGAGAGAAGGGTAAGCTGGAAAAGCCTGCTCTACACTTGCTTCGTATGTTTAAACATTCCCTGATTCTAAAATAAGTATTTTTCCTCTTAAATCTGTTTGATTACAATTTCATTAAGATTAGCAAGATTTTGCTCCTAGTGCCAAGTTTGAAAAAGTTGTGTTTCTGCGAAAATAGGTAATACTGGGTTACCACTACACACCCAGCTACACTTCAGATGATTACTCACAGTCGCCATTCTCGATTAGACTGAGGCTTTGAATTAATGCATTTCAAACCTATTTGACCTTAGAGTTCAAGGAAACAAAACCATTACCTAGTGCAACATCTACTATTCCCCCATTTACTCTCAGGAATGTTATTACCTCTGGATACAATCAAACCAACAGCTTACTTCACTGAATTTTATCATGTGAAACTAACTCCAGCATTACCAATAACTTGGGACCTCAGTTATAACCCAATTCACTTTTCAGTAAGATTACACTTGAAAGCCTTCACAGCTTCCTAAAAACAAAACTTCTCTTTTTTCAGCCTTTAAGATAGTTATTTGAAAGCTATGGATAGCTATATTTGTCATGTTCCAGGTTAAAGTAATGTCTAAACAAAGGATTAGTCATGCCTTTACAGAATACCAGTCAAGTCTGAATCAAAATACATTTACATCAGACATGTTCATAAATAATAAATCTGCATGCATGTAAATAATTAAATAATTTCTTACATTTTTTGAAGAACCTGAGCCATCACAACCCCACTCGTTAAATCTTCCACAGTCTGGCATGGTGCCTCAACATTAAATGTCTGGATCTGGGAGAGAATGAAAAAGGTTACATGTTTTCATTTCAATGTCAATCAATTTTTACACATAAAACAAGCCAGCTACTAGCAAATGGAACAGAGTAAAACCAACACATTTCTTGCAGGAGCTAAGAAAAAATAAGCTTAAATTTAATAGCAAAAAAAGATATTAACCACTGTCATAGCTTAGCATCTTTGTTTTTGGAAGTACAAACACTGTAAGTTTAACCACAAACAATGAAAGCACATTTGCAAAAAAAATTTTTTTCACAGCTTATTACTTAGATTTTCTCTCTCTTCAGTATTTCTGGAGCACATCTTCAAGCATGTTTAGGTACACCCCTCCCAGTGAACATATGAAAGAAATTCTGGTATTAGAAGTTAATACTAATTACACAAAACTTTCACAAGTTTCCCACAATCCTAAAACTTAATTGTTCTCTAACACTGGACATAGGAGCAAAGCATAATGCTGCTAAACCCTAGCAGATCCATATAGTACCAGTGCTCTAGTTATTTTGGTGTGCTTAGTTAACAAAGTGACAGACATTAATTACAAGTCCATATCGTGACAAGACTCTGGTCCTCAGATAAAACTAACATATGTAGGTGTTGTTACTCAGAACTGCAGAAGAGGAATAGCAAGGTCTACGTGACAGAGCAGTTTGATGACAGAACTACTGCACCAAAGAAGTGAGCTAGGTCACAATTTTTCCTCTCTAGACTGTGCTCTGAAAACACTGACAAAACCTAATTTTCTGAGGAGGCCAGGTAACATCTTCGAAGAAAAGAATTACGAAGGAGTAAGAATAATCTCTTCTATAAATATTAAAAAAAACAACAACAACAAAAAAAAAACACGTGGATACATAGAATTTCTGTATGGCTTCTATTTTTCTACTCCATTTTCATGCTTACAGCCTTCAGGCTATCTGCAACCCTCCCCCCACCACCACAACAGCAAAGCACAAAAACACAAGGGAGAGCTCTTTTTTTCATTTCTCTTTTGATGTGGCAAAGAGCCTTCTGCTTCAGCAAAGTCTTTTCAACTGGTCTAAAGTATCCAATCATTTACAATATAATGAACGTTGGTTTTAAGGGATGTGGATGAGTTTTCCTAAAATATGACTACATGACATTTAGAGAATATTTGCCTACTTCTCTCTGCTGTTATTCTCCTTCCAGGGAAGACTAGTCTTCTTAGTAGGAATCATTATCTGTATGCACTAGAGATAAGAAAGCTTGCAAGACAGCTTGCAACTGCAGGCTACATAAATTTCAGATAATATCAACAGGTTTTTTTCTGAACATTACGTGCAATTTTCCTGCTTTACTAGAATACAAAATACTAATGCTAGTGTAAGCCATTTCCTAGTAAACATCCTCTAGGTATGTATCTTACAATTCGCATAACAAAAAATCGTATCAGTTCTTTTTTTGGTGGAAAAGACTCTCAAATATCAATGTCCAGATTCTCAGTTACTTGGTAATATCAAATAAGCACCTTACCATAGAACCTGAGTACCATAATAGAAGAACTACACACTAAAAAAAAAAAAAAAAAAAAAAAAAAAAGGAATACAAAAAGCCACATAACAGGATATAAAATAAATTGCTATTTTGCCAGAAACTTCTAGTTACCTAGAATCTCTGAATTACAGTAATACTATCAAAAGAATATCAAGGAATACTGTGACAATTCAGAAGCACTTCAGACAGGAAATGATTTCTTTCTCATGAGAAAGTTTGCAATGGCATCAATGATGCTTATGCTTGAAGTTCAAGACGTAATATTAAAATTTGCAAGCACAAACATGAAAACTTCCAAGTTTTGCATATTATCCCTTTAAATTATCAGTTTAATTGCTGTCTGCTGCACAACAGCCAAACAAACAAATCACCTAAAAGCTGTACTCTGCTTTTTTCAAGTACAGTCAAAGCAAAATGATATTTCCAAATAAACAATACTGACAATTAATGTCTTTACTCAGACTGCAAAGGAATCTAATGTCTTTAAATTCATTTTGCATATTGATACATGAAACACCTCCTTGCCTAAATAAAAGTGTAAGTAACAGATACTACTATATCGAGGCAGGAAGGGAGTTTGCTTATCCTATTTTCAAGTGACAAAAAAAACAAGGTACAGTCTAATTAATTTCATCATCATTCTTTATACTTCATAAACAAGAAAAGATCAGAACTGCCAGTAAGGGCCAGAACAGGTCAGATTACCCATGTGAACTACTTATTCCACACTCCCGCATGCAAGGCCACCACTGACGACAACTCTGCTTTATATTAGATGAGACAGATCAGAGAAAAATTCCCAGTAGTTATACAGCTTGTTCCTTTTGCACACATAACTTTGTAAGAAATACTATGTGTTGTATTCCTTTTCTTTGCAGACAAATACATTTCAGCTGAGATGTTTAATAGCTTTTATTCAGCTCTTCCAAAAAAAAAAAAAAAAAAGTTATCTTTTTCATATCCTTCAGGCACATGAAAACAACATATTTCTCTTCTTCCCACCCCAAATATATAAAATTTAAAAAAATTATGTCAGTGTTAAACTGTGAGTCCACTCTCGGGTCAGACCACAAAAAGCTAGTATGAAAAAGCAGAATTCATTTTCCAGAAAGGAAAAGAATGGTAAGAATGTGGAAATATTGAAGCACAGTCCGACTGCAGAGACAGCAGGCTTTTTTTGGTTTGTTTTTTTTTTGTTGTTGTTGTTGTTTTTCTGCATGCCTCTGAAATGCTTTTCGGCAAGGCCTGCCCTCATACACTGCCCTTCCTGTACATTACGATCTCCTTCTGCCTGGAAGACTTCTCCCTCATCCCACTGGAACTGTTCCTGCTTCTTGAGAGTCTGCAGTACAACAGTTCCCCAACGGTTTAAATTCATGCTCTGTTATGATCCTTTTTTCTGCTTCTTGAACTGCTATATGAAACCTTGACAACAAACTGGACGCACTGACTGACAGGGCAGTCTGAGGAAACAGGGAAAAACAAAAGATCAACCACTGCCCCACTGAGCCTTCCTGTTTTCCATCAATTTCCACGTAAGACACAGAAAAAGTTTGTTAATTTGTCTGTCCAAGTTTTAACTCAGAGCACCAACATACGAGGCCATAAACATACACAGTCAATTTTTATACAAAACTTAAGAAAAAAATAGCATTGCAGGTGATTGTTTCAATGCAAAGGGCTCTATTATTGGAACTGGATTGCTGCAAGGACTCAGGACCTCGGCAAATCAGAATTACAGTTCTAAATTACATTATATGACTAATGAAGATTTGTCAGATACTGGGGAAAGAAGGAAGAAAAAGTGTATTTCATGAAAAATTATAATACGAAGGTGAGGACTGAACAGACTCAGTACTCAAAATACACTAGTTGAAGTTTAGGATGTGGTTGTGGTCTAACATTCCATGGAGCTGGAGGAAGACAGGCACAAAAAATAAAGGACAAAAAAAAAAAAAAAAAAAAAAAAAAGATCTCCAGCAAAAAAATCTCCCTTCTCAACACTAAGTATGAAAGCTCTGTTCTTTGTGCAGTGATTATATCCACAGCTTGTTTTTTTACTTGTGGCACAACTGCATAAATATTTACTGTCTTTTCATAATATCTAAAACCTCTTTAGAGAATCTTAGGTAATAAAATACTGTGTGACTGGGCTAACTTATGCATAAAGGCAACAAAAGCAGCATTTTTACTGTGTGACAGTTAACAGTTTCCAGACAGTTATTGTGGAGGGTAGAGTACCCCCCAACACTTCATGATGCTTCAGAATTATTTGTCCATTAACTATACTTTTCAAATTGGCTATGCAAGATGACAACTCTCTGCTCTGTAGGGCCAACATCAGTAAAATCACCACAAATGGAACAAAGCACACAGCTGAGATGAGAAAAGCAGCAAAAACAAAAGGAAGGAAGGAACCAGTCTCAGTGGCATGCATGCAAATTGCAACAGGCTGTTTGCAAGAATACTTGAAAGAGCAGAACCTTTAATAAGGTTTTGTCACTTCCTTCACTCATTTTTCTCCACCTGGCTGGCAGCACTGCTATCTTCTCCTTGGATAACCATTCCACAAGTTATTTTACATGCTTTCCAAGACAGCAGCAGACTACATACAGCAAACAAACAGGACTCAGACTCTCAGGCAACTAGGAGTTTTACTCAGTGATTTAGATTTGGGAATATTTTTATTTGGTCACTAGACTCTCCTCGTTAAAATCTCAAGAGTTACTCTGCAACCTCGTTAGGCACTCTAATGGCTGAATAAGGAAATGACAAGGCTTCTACGTTACTGGCTGTGGTGCTTCATACAGACTGCAAACTCAGCTCCACCACACTGCTCTCTGACTTCTCAAAAGAGCCAGGGGAAATAATACAATGAAGAACAGGCAAACAGATTGAAATAAAGACGGGAATACACACATTTACCATCACAGGCCAAACACTCAGTTTAGGGAGGTTGATATAATTTATTGTCAATTAATAACAGAACAGAGCTGTGGGAACTAAGAACAAATTAAAAGCATCCTCCCCCCAACCATTCCCTTATGTATCCTCCCCCAGGCAGCACACAGGAACATGCAATGGGCGCTGTGCTCAGCTCATAGCACTCCACCTGCGTCACTCCTGCTCAGCCTCTCTGTGCTCCCACACGGCTCCCTGCCATGGGCACCTCCACCCTTTGTGCAGCAGTGGCTCCCCTGGCCCTCCCACCCCACCACAGGTCACTCCCCATGGACATCTGATTAAGACAATGAACAGATAGGCCTGCTGATGAAAAAACAGCACTACGGAGCATTTGTGATAAACCTAACATTCAACACATAAAATGAAGGCCTAACATAGTTAAGCCTAAACCAACAGTTTTTTGAGTTTTCACCTACTTAATTGTTTTTTATTTAAAAGTAATGCTTACCACTGATACTTTATATTATTTTTCTCAAAATACAAGCTATTAGTGAGCGCAAAACTGCGAGAGTAAG